ATACACTCTAATTATTCGAATTAAAGAATAGATTATATGAATATAAAGATCATTAACGTCTTTCTGTCACGAAGATGACACATCTCAAGTATTATCTAAATTTCCAACCGCAAACAAAAAGTCGAAAACGCATGTTATGCTTGAATATTGGAGAAATTAAAAGATTGTAAGTTTTCAATAAAGTTGACAAAATTATTTCTTTTTTTGGTAAAAGTCTCAAGTCTCTTGTACTCGTGATCAGGGCTTGGGGTAGACTCCTAGCCACAAGGGCTTCCAGTGCGGTTCAAACAACTTGATATTGCAAGTAAAATTCGTCCCACTGGAGCCAAGTTACCAGCTGGGCCACGCCTTATGGTAGACAAATTGTTCTCATATGAAAAAAACTATAGAAAAAAAAAATAAGGAATGTTATTTTTTAATTTTAATTTTAAAAATTTTAAATTGTGTATTTAAAAAATGTTTTTGAAATTTAAAAAAAAAAAAAAAACTATAATATTTTAAGGGTATTTATAAACCTTCTGCCTATAACCTATTCTAAAATAAATTTTTTTGTTCATATTATTTTTCAAAGTCATTTTGTAAAATATTTTTTTTTTATTTCGTACTTTCAAAATTTTAAAACATGTATAATGATTATATTTAGAGACAATTGAATTTCTGAAAATAAAAATAGTTTAAACATGTACCCATAATACGACTCTCAACACTTCTTTCTAAATATATTCGATCCACAAAACAATATGTATTCCAAAATCGGCCCAATACGTTTAAGGAAGGCGATGTGAGATAGCTTATGTGGCAAACCAATTGTCATCATTTTCGAATTCTTTTTTAAATTCAATTTAAATATTAAAAAAATTATAATTTGCTTGATAAGAATATTATACAAAACATAATTTTGAAAAAGTGGAAATAAAAAATCAATTGTGAGTTTGTTTCTCTATTTTGAGTAGGATTTTTAATATCTTGACTAAAATACATATTTGTTTTCTTATTCTATAAATCTAATTCTATTATATTTAACTATAAACCTCCAAGGTTTATTAATTTAACTGAACACCCCTAACAAAATTTTTTTAAAAAATTAACAGAAACACCCTTACCTATCCACATTTGTCAGATTCTGATCACTACTGTCGGAAGGTGGCCGGAATCATGCATAATGGCATACTACTGGCTAGATTTGGCTGGTAATGCGCCAATCTAGCATTTTTCAGTTAGAACCACTGTGAATTTGGTCGAAAAGACCAGATCTATAACCAAAGATCTAGTCATTGATGGCCAAATCTGGGGACGACCAAATGTGGCTAGATCTAGCTGTCAACTAGTGATGGCAATGGACCGGGCCAGGCCGGGACCGGGTACCCCTTGGCCCAGGCCCAAGCCCGATCCAAGCTCGTCACGGGTATAACAAGTAAAGCCCAAGCCTGGCCCGACAGGCTTTTTGTAACCTCAGGCCCGGCCCAAACCCACCCATTTTTATAATGTGAATTTTTAAATATTAATAAATTTCAAAATTTTTTTTTATATTTTTAATTCTAGAAACAATTTTTAAATATTAATTTTTTTTTGAATACTCACAATTCATCCATGTAGGGTTTGGGAAAAATGAGTATATATATGTAGGATACTCTTGTAATTAAATATATAGTATAAGGGTAATTTAATATAATTAATACTATAATTGTCGGGTCAAGCTTGAAGACATACCCAGACCCAGCCCGTACCAGAGGTCGGGCCTTAAAATCAGGCCCAGGCCCAGGCCCAAGTTCAAGCCCGAAAACATCGAGTAAAACCCGACCTTTTTGGGTCAGGCTGGGTACCCAGAAATATCGGGCCCATTGCCATCTCTATTGTTAACAATTAGATCTGGCTGTAGATTTGGCCGAAAAAAGTCATATCGGCGCACGACCAGCCAGATCCAACCGGTTGTACGCCATTACGACTACTTTTGACCACCCTCTGGCAGTGGTGGTCGGCTGCTGGCATTTAATGGGTGAGTGAGAGTGTTTTTGTTAATTTTTAATGTTTTATTGTAGGGGTGTTTAGTAAATTAACAAACTTAGAGGGTGTTTTTGTTAATTTTTAAATCTTATCTTGTAATAACCACTCAACTTAACTTTTTCAAAAATCATACCCAAAATAATAAAACAAACACAGTTTTAATTTATCTACTTTGTAAGCCATAGATGGAAACCTACAGTCAAGACATCTTATTTTATATTATAAAAAGAGTTAACAACTTTGTTCCACCCAAATAACGACTTAATGATACTTTTCCACCCTCAGACTTTTAAAATACAATTTTACTATCCAAATTATATTTTGGTGGCGAACAAAGAGCAAACTTTATCCAAGTTGTTAAGGCATTTGAAGAGGGGAGGCTGATGAGTTTTTTGGTAGTGGAAAGTTGAATTTTGGTGGTTCGGATTGATCAGAATTTGACATGGGAGGTGTGGTTGCACAAACCCTAATGCTCAATTATCGGTGATTGGTAGGGTCGACGAGAGTAGGGATTGAGGGGTTTTTTTAAGTGATGATCGGGGAAGAGTATGATAGTGGTGTGGGGTCGCAACGATACTAGAATTAGAAACAGAATATAAAATTGGTTAGTAAAGTGGTATCTTAAAAGTATGTGGGTGAGAAAGTGTCATTAAGTCATTATTTAGGTGGGAAAAAGTCATTTACTCTTATAAAAAATTACAATAAGTATGATCATAATCAATAGGGAGAATAACATTTTCCCACCCAAGGTTTGGGAAAATGACACTTTCCCACCCTTTAAGTTTCAAAATGACACTTTCTCACCCTTCTTCACTCTTCAGGTTCTGTTATGTTTTCTGTTACTATTTGATTGGAAAGATGAAAATAACCTTAAATATTTGATTTTATAAAATTTTTATTATTTTTTAATTAGCCAAAAAGTCAAAAAAGAAAAAGTAGTTAACCACAACTAAAAAGTTAAAGAGTAATGTTATAGAATTGTTTAAAGTTAAATGACCTTAATTTTTATTTATTTATAATATTATCAATATCCCATCACTATTATTCAATAATCCACTAAATTTATAATATTTTTCATTTTTATTAATTAATATAGAAAATCAATATTCCTATTTAATTAAATAAACAAAAGAAAAGATATATCTTTACACTTGAACTAATAAATAATTGAGTAAATATTTTGACTTAACAAAATTTTAATTTAGAATAAACTAATTAAAAAGTAAACTATTTAGGGGTATCTTTGTCTTTTCAGTCAAATATTAATAGAAAATACTTACAAAACCTAACGAAAGGGTGGGAAAGTATCATTTTGAAACTTGATGGGTGGGAAAGTGTCATTTGCCAAACCTTGGGTGGGAAAATGTCGTTCTTCCTAATCAATATGTATAATTTCCTTGGCTTTCCTTCAAGTTTGCGGTAGGGATGGGCGTTTGGCCCGCCCTCCCCGACTAGGGTGGGGATCCCTCGAATTTGTAATAGGATGGGGACGGCAGGGAAAAAATCCCCACCCCTGGAGACGGAGCAGGGATGGGCATGTAGTTTGCCTCGACGGGGCCTCGCCCCACCCAGCCCATCTACAACAAATTTATTAAAGACTTTATTTTTATTTTTATCTTTAATAGATTATGTATAAAATTAGAATCTCATGATTTAAGATTTTAAGTCATGTACCAAATTATCAAGATTTGTGATAGTTATCTTAAATATATTATTGTACATTTTAATTATGGAATAAAAGTAACTTAAAGGCATATGGTCTAATTTCTCAAAAGCGGTAAATTAATTCTTCCATGATGGAGATGAAGTATGGAAATGAATAAATTTAAAATTGACTCAACGAAATTGTTAAGATTTGAGAGTCAAATAATAAAATTGAAACCATTGAGAGTCAAATAATAAAATTGAAACCACTCTTGGGTGGCTAAGTGGTTGAATAAGGACTCTTGGAGTATTATCCAAGAGATTCTGAGTTCGATTCACCTCAGTTGTTAATAAAAAAAAAAATAAAACTGATATATGAAAATGTTAATTCACCAAATAAATTATGTTAAGATTGAATATAGTTTATTAATTTTATGAAAATGTTAAATGTTTTTCTTAATTCTCTATAATATTTAATTAAAATTTGTATATTATATTAAACATTAGAATACAACTAAGATTTTTGAATTTAGCATCATATCTTCGTTTGAAAATAACATTATTTTATTTTAATTTAATGGTTTACAAATTATAAAGACTTAGACGTATGAATTATGATGTTGATTGCTGATGTATCTCTAATTATATTAATAATTTCTCATTATTTGATTTTGACTTATGTCCCCTTACCAGATTGTTCTTAAATTTTATTAAGTTTTTTTTTTTACTATATTATATGGCTTATTGCAAAAAAACTATACAAAATCAATATAAAAAGAAGTTTGAAATAATCCACTGTTCAGGGAAAATTCCCCGTGGAGATTAATACTCTCAATCCCTGAACTCCGGGGAGGGGTGCGACGGGTGATCCCCCAAAGGGTTGGGGACGGGGTCGAGGAAACCATCCTCGCGTCCATCTCTAATTTGCCTAATAGTTTTAGAATTACCTGTTACCTCCTTTGTAACCGTTTTCTAGATTAAAGATAGTAAAAAGATTCAATTATATTTGATAACAAAACAAAATATAAAAAAATTTCATTGGAAATATCTATATCAACATATGATAAAAAAAAATTTATAGAAAAAACAATAGATTCAAACTAAGATTAATCAATTTAAAATCCTAGATTGGTCTTGAAAGTCTTTTAAAAGTTAAAACCCATCTATTCTATAAGCATTTTTGACCTTTTTTAAGGTTTTGTTTAATTATCAATAATTGAAGACACTTTAGAGGAGATTTAACTATTCTTATAAGGAAGATTAACCATAATTTTCAATTTATTGGAGTTGATTATATTGCAGTAAAAGTTATGGGATCTAATTAAAATTTCCCCTAATTAATATCACTCAAGTCTCGTCTCGTCACTCACACCTCTGTCCTCACTATCAAAAAGCGCGCGAAACTCAGCGGCCTAAACCCTAGCGAGTATGCCGGAGCTACCGGAGGTGGAGGCGGCCAGACGGGCCATAGAAGAGAACTGTGTGGGCAAGAAGATAGTGAAGTTGATTATCGCTGACGATCCCAAAGTGATCGACGGAGTCTCTGCGTCGGAGTTCGAGGCCTCTCTTTTGGGCAAGACCATCGTATCTGCTCATAGAAAGGGCAAGAACATGTGGCTTCGTCTCGATTCTCCGCCTTTTCCTTCTTTCCAGTTCGGTACAGTTCAGTACAACCCTAAAAAATAGAAAAAACAAAAAAATCACCTTTTTGATGTCCTGTTTGGATGGGTTGTTTACGCTTTTAGTTATATTATGGTGTTTTTATTATCTCAAAAGCGCATTTGTGTTGCTTTGTAATGTATGGAGAAAGGGACAACATTTTGACACTAAAAATGCGTTTGTGATACTGCAATTTGGAGAAGCATTTTGTATGTTTTTTTTTCAAAAGGCACTTGCTTTTTGAGTCAAGGAAATACATTGACAGTACTTTTCAGAGAACTTGGTTGCTGCTTTTATGGAAAGTTTAGTTAAGAGTTTTAACAGGAAAGTTTTTGGCACTAAAAATGCATTTATGTGTTCTTTTTTTCGAAGAAGCAATTCTTGTGTTTTTCTTAAAGAACTTTTGCGTCAAGGAAAAAAATACTTAAGAGAAACCTGGTTTGCGCTTTTACGTAAGGCTTGTTCAAGTGTTTTAACATGAAAGCTTTTGTCACTAAAAATGCATTTTGAAGATGCACTTCATATGTTTTTCTTAGAAGCACTTTTTGGGTCTAGGAAACACTTGGGAGTGCTTTTAAAGGGAAACTTGGTTGGTCCTTTTACAAAGAGCTTGTTTGGTGTTTTTCCATCAAAGCTTTCAGTAAATGCGGCTGTGTGTGTTTTTATTTATTTATTTATTATTTTTATAATACATTTTCAAAAAGAACCCTTAGGATTTGATCTTTAGATATCGGATATGATATGAAACGATAGTAGATGAGTTTCCATGCTGATGCGGTTTAATGCATTTCAGGGATGGCAGGAGCTGTTTACATTAAGGGGGTTGCTGTTACAAAATATAAGAGGTGAGGTGTGGTCATATATATAGTTGTGTTGTATTGACTGATGCAATGAAATGTAAAGTTAGATCAATAAGTCATTTAATGAAGATTTGTTTGCTTTGTGGAAATGAAAGGCATTAATGCGACCTTTAATATGTTGTTTTTATGCTGCATTAGAAGGAAAGTGCAATGGGAATGTGTGCAAAATGCCATTTTTTGAATTCAAAATTTATACGAGAGCAATTTCTGATTATTATTCTTTTAGTGAATTATCTCAGATAACTTAACCAGTTTGGCTTTGATGCTTTGTTCATTTTACTAATTGTTCTGTATAGAACAATTTGCAGTCACTAATTTTAATGATTCAAATCTTGCTTACAGGTCTGCTGTAAAGGACACTGATGAATGGCCTTCAAAATATTCAAAATTCTTTGTTGAAGTAAGAATCGCTGCTCACAATTTTTTATATCATTTTGCTTTTACTCTGGACCTAACCATTGCATGCAATGCCCTATTTTAGCTTCTACTCTTGTAATGGATGCCCACAATACTCGGTGTTAATCTTATTAATAACCTTTGCTGCTTGACCTAGGTCCTGTGCTCCTATTTAACTGATTTATTTCCCTAAAAGGCTGTGCCCAATATCTCAAATTAGGACCACAAAAATCCCTGTTCAAATTGTAATTTGATGTCCTGCTGTGTTGTGATTGTGTGGGAGGAAGTTATGTTTATAGCTTTTTTCTTGACCTATGTATTTGATTAATTTAGTATGAGTTGCTTATTAATGTTATCTATCACTACTAAATCTTGATGGCCCAGTCAGTTTGTTTCAACTTTAGTGGCAACTAAGCAGGTTGCACATTGTCGAATGCTGAGATTATTCTCTGTTCATTTTCTCTTTAACACGGAGTCTCGGCTTTTTAATTATGTATTCTGATGTTAAAAGTCATTTTCTAATAGACATGAGTTTGAGCGTCTTCATAGTTTCTAATTCAAGGGTCTTCCTTTGATAAATATAAACAGGGAGCATACACTGTCCAATATTGTTTTAGAATTCTGATTTTGAATAAGTATCCAGGACTCAACTGGTCTTGATAAAAATAGTTCCGTGGTGCAGTCTATTACGTTTGTTGTTTCCTTGGCAAGAAATGCCAAACAGTGGTTGGAATTTCTAGGTGCCATGCCTTTATATGTCCTCTAAAAGCATTCCTTTATGTAACCTGCAGATTATTTGTTATCCATGTGGTATGTCTCTTGATATCAGTTTCTTTAGGTGTGCCATTGAAACAATGTATTCATAATAATTGAGGAAGTATGCATGTATTATCATAAAAAATATCTTATCTACCATTGTACTCATGAAAAAAGTAATTTCTCCATGTGCAGCTAGATGATGGTTTGGAGATGTCTTTCACTGACAAGAGGAGATTTGCTAAAGTTCGCCTACTCAAAGATGTAATATAACATCATTAGCTAGTCTATATATAAATGATGCCAATTTACTTTGGTGGCATTATGCTAATTTTTTTGTAATTGTTTTGTTGGTATAGCCGGCTTCTGTAGCCCCCATATCTGATCTTGGTCCTGATGCACTATTGGAGCCTCTGACAGTTGATGAATTTACCAAATCGTTAAGCAAAAAGAAAATTGCGATTAAGGCTCTATTACTTGATCAGGTTAAAACATTTATGCGTATTCCTCTTCCTATTTCCTAATATTGTTTACATGATGTTTGATATTCTAAACAATTTTAAGAGAAGGTATAAGTGATAGAACCTTTCTGGCCTGGTTATTTGGGACAGATTAGCTTCAGCCACACATCATAATTCTCTTTCTCTCTCTCTCTCTCTCTTAAAAGTACAGGACTGGTTCTTTTAATGTAATCTTCCACTATGTGATTAATGACTTTTGGTGACTGTTTATTTAAAATCATTAAAAGTACGGTTCTTTTAAACTTTCTTTGATACTCACAGCTCTCTTTTCCGTATCGTTATTGACCCTTATGATTTAATCACTTTTGCAGAGTTTTATTTCAGGAATTGGCAATTGGGTTGCAGATGAAGTTTTATACCAAGTTAGTGAACACCTTTTTGTCCAATTTCTTTTATGTATTTTTGCTAAGTATTTGGGTCATATCATTTGCTTAAGTAAAGAAACTTCAACATATTGTGTAGAGAAGGATGAAAACTGTTGGCTGAGGGAGGGAGAAAGTACATGATGGCCTATGAACTTATTTGGTATAAGGAGAGAATGTTTATAAGAATTTATGTAGCTCAACTCAGACTGAATTGCATGCTTTGTATTGTTCCAGCTTGATATTGGAAGCCAATATTGCTACTTTATTTATGTAATATTTTGGTATATGTAAGAACCATTCTGTTGTTGCTGGAAAATGATTTTTATATATATACTAGTCTCATCATCTTGTGAGCTAAATGAACTAACTTAAGCCTGAGTCAAATAATGTTGTTTGATGTTTCTAATTCTATTTCATGCAGGCCAGAATTCATCCGCTGCAAATATCTGCCGGCTTGTCCAAAGAAAGTTGTGCAACTTTGCTCAAGTGCATCAAAGAGGTAAGAGCAAGTGCTTAAATTTTGTGTTTTAATTGCAGTTATAGAAGTTTGTTGTACAAAATTTGTGCTCTTCATGGAGAATATAGAGAAAACCAATATTTGTAGGTTGTTCAAAATGCGGTTGAAGTTGATGCTGACTGCAGCCGCTTTCCTCTTAAATGGTTGTTTCATTTTCGATGGGGCAAAAAGCCTGGAAAAGTTAGTGGTAAGATACCTATGACTTGACTAATCTCTATGACAATGCAATTTATTTTACAGGTAATTGAAAAAGCAATTGAGGTTGGGGCAGACAGTAGTCAGTTTCCTAATAATTGGATTTTTCATTCCCGTGAAAAGAAGCCTGGCAAGGCTTTTGTTGATGGTTTGGTTTCTGTCCCTTGTGATCTCTCCTATATTATCACATTTAGTTCCCTCTTTTCATATAAACAATAGCTTTTGTTTGTGTCTGTGTAGCATTCTGTGCATGTGGTGGTGGCCATTATTATTATTATTTTTTTTTCCTGGAGTTCTTGCAAATTATTTTTAGTGTTGGCATCGACTTACTGGCTTGACTCATGATTCTCTAAATAATGGGCCCCTTAATTCATTTCATTTAAGAAAACTTTATCCTTTCTGTTTTTATCAGGAACTTTAGTTTCCTTGGTTAAAACATTGATGGTCTTTTGTGTAATGGCAGGTAAGAAAATTGATTTTATTACTGTCGGTGGTAGGGTAAGTAACTCTAATAACAGGGCTGTTTATGTTATTTTACTGTTCTATCGAACTAGTTGATGTGATGGGTCTGCATTCCTGGTTGCAGACAACAGCTTATGTACCAGAGTTGCAAAAGCTAAATGGAGTCCAATCTGCGAAAGCGGTTGTTAAACAAAAGNTGTGTAATGGCAGGTAAGAAAATTGATTTTATTACTGTCGGTGGTAGGGTAAGTAACTCTAAGAACAGGGCTGTTTATGTTATTTTACTGTTCTATCGAACTAGTTGATGTGATGGGTCTGCATTCCTGGTTGCAGACAACAGCTTATGTACCAGAGTTGCAAAAGCTAAATGGAGTCCAATCTGCGAAAGCAGTTGTTAAACAAAGGAAGCAAACTTCTAAGAGAAAAGGCAGTGAGGATGATGACGGAGACAATGGTGTTGATGTACCAGAAAGTGCTGTGGAGGAGGTTACTGAAAATGTAAAATCAAAGGGAGGGCGGAAACCTGGGGGTCAAGGTGCAAAGCCTTCAAAGAAAAGAACATCTAAAGAAAGTGATGATGATGACAGCGAACATCATGCTGGTGATGACGATGACGATGCTGATGAATTGCAAGCTGGTGATGACGATGACGATGCTGATGAATTGCAAGAAACAAAATCAGGGAAGGCTGATGAATTGCAAGAAACAAAATCAGGGAAGGCGACAAAGAATAAACAAGCTAAGGCTGTGAAGACATCGAAGGAAAAATTTACCAGTCAAAAAAGTAAGAATCAAAAGAAGAAAGCAAAGTAGGTTGCTGCTGAGGTTACCAGTCCATGTTCCGGAAGACTGAAACTGTGGTCGTATTTTGTAAATTATCGTAAATGGTGCATCCTTTTTGTCCTGACTCCATGTCAGTTCTGATTCATTGGCAATCTTTCCTGGACTTGCCAGTGAGTTCTGTGAAGTGTGAAGACTAACCAGAACTGGAATGACTCTGAATTTTGGATAAACCGCATTGTCTTAAATTCAATCTTTATGGAATTATCTTAATGCAAACAGTGTGTAGTTATTTTGCATTATTCATGATTTGGGGTTAGATTCAGTCATCAAATAGTTCAAAATAAACGGAATGCAGTGGATTTCTGAGTTGCTGTCACACTTCGGAATCGTAAAATTATTGACAGCTCAATATTGTATTTACAATAATCAACTTCAAACTTCAAAGTTAAACCCCCTAAAGGAATGACAAAAAAAAAACCTTCTTTATGAATTTTCCTATGTGGGGTTGACATCAATGTTGAATTAATTGTGTTTATTTGTGATTGCATATGTTCATAACCTTAGAGCATTGCAACTTGGCTTGTCCATTCAATTGAATCAATTCCAGATATCAAAATTTAGATAATAAATTTCGTAATCCAAAGAGATTCATAAATTTGTTGACTTCTCATTTTTCACTGTAACTTATGCATAGAGCTTTATACAAACAGAGAAACATTGATATCAGAATCCTTGCACAAATAAAAGCTATGCAATATTCACATTCAAGTGAGATGAATCTTGAAGGTATGGTGGTTCGGTGCTTGAGTTTAAAAGAATAGTCTCAAAGCATCGACAACTTTCTCAGGCCTGTTAATATTGTTCAATGATCAAAATGTTAACAATTAGAAAGGAGAAAGAAGTAGAAAATACAAATAAATGAGAGTGAATTACCAGTCTTCTTGGGGCATATGCCCAGCTCCTTCTATCAACTTGAGCTTCACCACACCAGGGTTTCCTTTTTGGAACTCTTCTGCCACAGATTGAGGCAAATACTTGTCTGATATTCCCCACGCAACTAGCACTGGTTTGTCCCAGCTGTAGTCCGAAAGCCATCAAGTTCATAATGCTCAACAAAGTCAAATATAAAGTTCATAGGCCAGAGAATAATTGAAGCAATACGTTAAAGCCTACAAAATACAATGGATTTTTGGAATAAGAATCATGTTATGGGGCAACACATGTAAATACATGCATTTCTGGTTTTATATTCAAGCGTTTGATCTCAATCACTCGGGAATTCCTGGCAAGCCCTTACGTTAGGAAAACTCCAAGATGACTACCATCCTAATAGTGGATTCAACATGAGTAATTATGATGAATATTTGAAGATGTTTTGCATCAGGAAACAAAAATGTCGTCGCTCAAATTATATTAAGCTTATAGATCATACATGAATAAGAAATGTTAAGCTACTTTTCAACACAGCTCATGCAGAATACAGAGCTGGTTGCAACAACTAGCACCATTTTACACTGGACTAATTTAGCCACTAGAAGCCATGTCTTGAAGCTTCATATACATTGTCGAACTTTCTTATTCTTTCATTATTATTGTTTATCTTTCATAATACTAACTTAAAGGTAAACTCTAGCATAGAACCAAGTACTGATTCATTAGACAAAATACTCTTTTCTAGTTCAAGAGATTTTTGATCCAATACCATATGTTACACTTGGTTTAATCCCAACAAATTATCAAATTTGGCCACTATAGAAATTCGATATGCTTGTTGTTAGCGTTACTAATTTTGTGTTTGTTTCATCCAAGGCTAAAACGAACCAAAGTAATTGCAAATACCACACCAATACAGTTTTCCTTCGGCGGTCTGGAAGCAACTAAAACTAAAATCCAGCCAACAATTTCTTGATTTTATTTTTTTATTTTTTTTCGAATCTCATAAGGCTCAACTTCTCTTATCATGAAAGTATTGATTTTCAACTTAAAACTGAAGGAGCATGTCCAAAGTAGTTGTAACCTAGAACAGAATTATAAAAAAGAAGATCCAGAAAAATTGTACCTTCCTGAAGCAAAGCCAGATGCTATTTGACTTAAGGTATCTGTGAAATTAATTTTTCTTGTGGCTTCAAGCAGAGCTGAAACACCAAAACCGAAAGAACATGAAAGTTAGCTGGTACCATATTTTTACTACACAAATCAATCCAAGGAACATTTATCAATAACATAAACTCGGCAGGAAATCTAAAAGCTGAATTTAGTCACAAACCAAATCCAGGTCCACTGCTTGATAGATATGGCAATCGATAAACGTCGGCCTTTTCCAGCTTCAAGACATAGCTGTGGATGAATATATTAGTTTTGTAAGAGAAATACCTACGAAATAATAAGTGAACCAAAAATAAAGCTTATTAGCAACTACGATGTTCAGTTATTTCTCTAGAAGCAAACTTACAATTTAAGTGTGCTTCCTATATAACAAAGCTGACCAAAAACTTTTATCTACTGCTCACTGAAGTTGCTCGTGAATGCATCATTCAACTTCAACATAAAGTGATATCATGGTGCAAAATTTTGAATTCAATAAAATAGTTAAGGTTTATCTACTCAATTCTATAAGGGCTGTTCTTAGGTTATAATCACAGATGATATGAACCATTCTTGCATAAGCATTTTTCAGTTCTGTGAATCTAAAAGCTTTACATTAGTAACTCAGACAAGTTATTGGAAAACCATCATAATTAAATGTCTCCCTCAGCACTGTGTATTTTTTATTCTGATATCAACTTTGCAAAAAATTATAGAGAAGAGTTATGTGAAGCATCGAGTTACTCTTTATCCATAAGTAGAAACACTTTGGATACATACGGGCTACCTGCTTCAATAAAGCGCTCTGCCGTGATAGCGTTCTGACAAGTAAATTCGCCATAGAGAGGGATTCTGGTAAAAGACAGAAAAGAAAAATCAAATAAACAATCTTAACTTTATCAAGCACAAGTAATGGGATTCCATTTTCTGCAAACAAAAGGACTTTAATTTTGAGTTGAAAGATCACACTTGTTTCCCACCACAAAATCTTTAATGGGAACGATATGTGGGTTTTGAAAGAGTAATGCATTTCTAACCCATTGGCAGTAGAAACATATAAAACAGTTGCTATAAAAACCGTTCAAACAAGTTTTTTATGCACATAAAAAGAGGAAATGAGGCAAGAATCTAGTGCTACATTCTGAAATGGTGTGTTCTGAAATCCTAATATATGCCATTTATCGTGATATATGGTTAGAAGGGAACCTCAGCTTTGTAAATAGTCCAGGAGTAGGAGATGAAACTGTCAGGGGACTATTTAGGATTACGAGCTTAGATATCTTGCTCTGATTTTTCAAGGCCCAAGTTAATCCATATGAACCTACAAGAAACCCCTTCAAGAGAATTTGGAAGAACAAGTTAGATATCCGGGTTTGGGGCAAAAATCGATCTAGTTATATTGTTGATTGAACATTGACATAAGTCTTTAGAGCTATTTACATATATGGCTCACGTAACAATTCATCATAGTCACTAAATTTGTTCAAACCTGAACGACTAGAAAGAAAGGAGATTTGACCTCCAGCCCATCAAGTAATTTATCCAATTCCTCATGGAATTCCTTCTCTGCAAAAACAGGAAGTCATCTTAGAAATATGAGACTTTTAGAAGAAGAAAAACGCATGTTACAAAGAGATTAATTTATCAGACACGATATGAGACCTGTGTAATTGAAACCATATCCCGGCTGTGGTTTGTCACTGAAACCGAACCCTATCCAGTCAGGTGCAATGCAGTGAAATCCAGAGTCTGACATCTAACAAGGACAAACAAAAACAACGTTCAGTGAATAAATGCAGCAGCCCACAGTGATAATACTTTAGTATTCTTAATAATGTATCACATTTTGGAAGGGTTTATTAGGAAAAGATCTTTAGTTTCATGTGGTTCAGGCTTGGCCTCTTTCCAGAAGTACACATGCATAACAAGAGAAATAAATTTACAAAAGATATGCTATTGACTCAAGGCATTTTATAACTTTCAGAAGAAAATCAACTAAGCAACCTGAGACATAACATTTCGATAGCTATATGATTGTGTTGGAGCCCCGTGAAGAAAGACAATTGTTCCACGCCTGGTCTCAGGGGATCCTGCAATCAAAGTTAAAATCGTCAAGGTTTTATGTAGAAATGAAAAGGAATAATTACTTATCCAGTGGAGAAAAGTTTACCAGTCCGTCTCACAAACCATACCAACTTTCCACATTTGATGTATTTGCCAAACTCCTTTCCCTTATCTTCTATCCTCTAGAATTCAAAGCATGTGTATTACAACTTAGAAAGTTTTAGTGTCCATGTCAAACAGACACTTCACATAAATTATCTGACAATACACTTGCAATTTCCAATTTCCAAACAGTTCTGTTGAATACAACAGGTTACAGAATTCTGTCCATAATTGCACAACTTTCACCCAATTGAAAATTAGGCCATCTTGAATCATGTAGAAATCATCACAATCTACCACAAGTTTCTTAAAATGGAGAGACAAACAGACAAATAATTTATCATTGAATAATACAAAAACTTGATAATTAATCATTCTTCTGCCAATACATTATGGTTTCTGTAAAGATTTTAACTTTTGGACTCTGAACTAATCCCAAAACTAAAATGGCATCCTTCCATTTTCTAAAACAAAACAACAAAAACCGTTATACTGTACGTATTATAAAATAACTACATCTCATCTCAATCAATCCAGGCAATAAACAGCTAGCTAAATTAAACCCACAGGTTCAAGATCAAAACTTGATCACTTACATAAAGCATTTGGCCGACATTTCCATCCTCAGCGGGGCTCTCAGGGAGCTGAATGGCGCTTCGACTAGAAGGGTTATCAGTGACAAAGCCAAAAGGGTTGAAAGCCGGAGAGTCTTTGTCACTATCATCGCTTTTACTTTCTCCTTCAGAAGCATTAGTTATGATTCTTGTAGCTCTCTTTCTTTCAGAATTACTTCTCCAAAGGGTGTGGCACTTGATGGTGGCGGCGGTGAGGGTGGTTTTGGCGGTGGAGGAGATGGGAAGAGTGAGAGGAGAAGGCGGAGAGAGAGACCAAGCCATTGGTTAATTGGGTGGTGGTGGCGAGTAAGTGAGAGTGTGGAGGTCGTTTTTTAACTGAATTAACGCACCCTGTCAGAAAATTTTGTGGATGATGTGCCTTTGTGTTTGTGTTTCTAAGGCCACGCTCTTCGACCACGCGCTTCCTTAAGTGAATTAAATTTTAATAATTAAAGAATTTTATTAATTTTCATTCTAATTTAAGTTATAAAATGAATTGAAAAATTCTTATTCTAATCCAATTAACCTAAAAGGGATTAAAAGATCTAAAATGATATTAGGATATTATGTTGTCCATACAATCAATTAGTGAATTTGTGCTGACTACAAATATATTCTCTCTCTTCAATCTTCATTATGAATATGATATATGTAACGTGTGATATCATATATGTTCTAAGAAAATATTTTGTTACTGATTCCATAATGTGATAGTATTTTGATTATTATGAATAATTTTTTCGATTACTGATATTAAAAATAGATTATATATATATATATATAAATTTGATTTAGAGTGATGTTATTGTCCTCTTGCATTCTATCTTTCAACAACCCATTTCTAAGATTACCCCATTAAAATATTTTAGCATATGCAAATGATTTTATATATCCTATATACTTCCAAAAATAATCTTTTATTTGTATTTTTAATATTTTTTATTTTTCTTATTTTGAATATAATGTTCAGAGATAAAATTCATTTGCACGTGTTTTTACTTCCAAGATTTTTTTTTTTTAAATGATTGGGGGTGTCTAGACCAGCTTGCGTGCACCTCAACTAATCTTTCGGACCCTATAACTATCAACTAGGTAAGAACTCCCGTAGCTACCCCTATTAGCAGTCGTGGGGACTCAAACTCGAGAGATCATGTTAGATCCTCCTCACCTTTATTCATTTACATGTGTTTTTACTTTCAAAATTGTAAGAATAATAGTTAAAAATTTTAAATTCGTCAAACTATCTTATAAATTTTGGAGAAGAAGAAAAAAGTAAATAAAAATGAAAAAGGAAAATAACAAACCCAAGAATTTAGCGTTTACATGATCTTGATCAAACTCTTTCAATTGCATAAATTTTGTCTCTATTGTTTGAAAATAGAATTAGGGTTTATGATTGAAAAAAGAAATAATTTTTTAGATATGTATAACTGTTTTATGTGTTATTTAGTAATTTTAATAAGAAATAAAATTATAATTAAAAATTTAATAATAATTGGGGTCCAAAGAGATATAATGTGAGGGACAATAGCATCGCTCTTTGATTTAATCTGATAAAAATAATATGATAATGTAAATTATCCGAAATGAAAAAAAATGAAAACAAAATGGAAAATGAGATTTGAGTCAAGTTGTAAATTACTCGATCAATAGTTTCAGGATCCTAAAAGATTAGTTGAGGTGCGTGTAAACTGATCCGGACACCTTGGTTATAAAAAAAAAGTTGATATGGATGGATTTTTTTTTTTTTAATTTTAATGACCTTACAATTACATTTAATCTCAAAATTAAATCATTTGAATAAAAATAATTAATAATGACCCATTAGTTTAATTTTGAATACCTGGAATTTGATTACAATCCCTAGTGCGTGCAATGCACGTAGAACTAGCGCGTAAAACACCACCACAAGAACAGCTAACTTCATATATTCAACAGACCCCCGTTAATTTACTTATTTTAAAAAGTCCCAATATTTTTAGATTACCCAAAAAACAAGGACCAATCCCTAAAAACATAAAATTGCTTACATAGGGCAAAACTAATTCGACAGAGAGCGAGGGAAGCATGACCGGTGGTAACGCGTTTTCTCCCGGCGATCAGGCGTTGTCACCGAACCCTAACCTCGAAATCATGGTAAGTTCCTGGATGATCTCCTCTTCTTCGGTTCTGTTGCTCTTAATCATTGTGTTTTCATGTGTGAGATTGTACTATGCTGTTATCATTTTCAAAATTTAGCATTTGTGTTTGAATTAGTTATTGAAATGTAGAATGAATTAAAAGGAGAAATTTGAGATCTTTATATATTTATTTTCTTATGAAGCATTGGTTCAGGGACGTAGTTGAGTATTTTGGATAGTAATGTTAATTGAGGAATGCTTATTCTGGATTATATGCAAGAAAGATGGATTACTGCAATCTAATCTAGTTTAAATTGCAAGTGCTATGTAACTGAGGAAAGATTTAGTGTTGTTTTTTTTTTTTTTTTTTAATTTTTTTTTAAGTTAATGAAAAAATTCCGACCCACTTTTGATAGAGAAAGTGTAAATCCTTGATATTTATAACTATCTACAAATCATTTATACCAGTTGAGTGTATTTGGATTGGGTTGAATATGTATCTGACAGCTTGAATTGGATAGAGGATGATATGACTTGAACAGTGTGATGTTAATTAAAGTCAGTCTGATATTCAATAGGCCTTTTTTTTTTTTTTGGGTATGCCACTAGAGTTGAGAATATTGATTGATATTTGTTATCTTGATAAGATCTTTGGGTTATGATTAGTATATTATGGGAATGACTTTGGCTTGAACTGGGTTTAGTAAGTGTGTGAAAGAGGAAACTCGGACGGGTAGATTCCCTAGCTTGCGTGATGAGATCTTTGAATGTCAATGAAGGTCTTAAATTTAGTTGAGAGATACAAGCAAAACTGTTATATTGCCCCCTTCCCCTGGAGTGACTAGTGAAGTTATTGCAAAAGTACATTGATGACTAGGTAGAGGAATTAGTTGGATTGAGGAAGCCCTAGTTGAATATATGATTAAAAAAAATAAGATGCTGCAGAATCTAGCGATGATTACTTTAGTAATCACTTGACCAAAAAGTTAAGTTGATAGGTAACAATAGTATCTAAGCTTTAACACGCCATTTAATGTGCACTTGCACATGGATCAAACACAAGGACACCATACTGAGCCCACAGACACAACTTTATTATCAGTCCATGAACACAATCAGGGGATTTGAACACAAGACCATTTGTTCAGCTTGTTTTTGAGACCATGTTAAGTAGCTAATTGACTCAAAAGCTTAATTTGCTAGGTAATGTCTTAAATAATAGTATAGAAGATGAGGAAATGTTGCAGGATTATATGTTGGCTAGATAGTGTGTCCATTAAAGAAACAATGAAGGAACCATAATAAAGGAAAATAGCACTTTCAAAAATCAGTGTTGTGGATGCTATTTATAGGTTTGGTTGACAATTTATTGTTTTGTGATTTTATCTTTCTTTTGAGTGTTAAAAGAGGAAAAAGTGGAGAAAATAATTATGTAAAAGGACTCTGCTATATTTTTTATTTTTTTATTTTATGTTTGGAAAGCTTGTGGATAATATTTTGCTACATGAATCTTGTCGGTTTGCTCTTTATATTAACTATCTGCTTAGTTCAACATTATTGATATTTGGTTCTTTGTTTTGTATTTCAGATAGAAGAAGTATCTCAAAACAGTGACCACCTGCTTGAAGATGAAGGCAACGACCTTGAGATTGAAGATAGTGACCTAGGGATTGATGGCAATGACCTTGATCTTGAAGGTGATGACCTTGATATTGAAGGCAATGAACTTGAGATAGAAAGTGATGGCCTGGAGATTGAAAGCAATGACTTTGAAAATGACAGTAAGCAAATCCTGGAGACAGGAAATCATTGCCATGAAAATGATGGAGATGATAGAACTGCACTTAATGGTCAAAGTGATGTATCTCAAGCAAATGAATATCCTCCACCGGTTGTGGGAATGGAGTTTGAATCCTATGATGATGCTTATAACTATTACAATTGCTATGCCAAGGAGCTAGGATTTGCTATTAGGGTAAAATCATCGTGGACCAAACGTAATAGCAAAGAGAAACGTGGTGCTGTGCTTTGTTGCAACTGCGAGGGTTTCAAAACGATTAAAGAAGCAAATAGTCGTAGGAAGGAAACAAGAACTGGTTGCCTGGCCATGATAAGGTTGAGACTAGTGGAATCTAACAGGTGGAGGGTGGATGAAGTTAAGCTTGAGCACAATCACTTATTTGATCCTGAAAGAGCGCAAAATTCCAAGTCACATAAGAAGATGGAGGCTGGGAGTAAAAGGAAGGTGGAGCCAACTGTTGATGTGGAGGTGCGAACAATCAAGTTGTATCGAACACCTGTTTTAGATTCCGTGGGTTCTGGAAGTTCAAACTCTAACGTAGGAGAAATTAGTAACCATGTAGATCTGTTGAAGCGTTTGAAGCTTAATAAGGGTGATGCCCAGGTTATATATAATTATTTCTCTCGGGTTCAGCTAACTGATCCAAATTTTGTGTACTTGATGGATCTCAATGATGAAGGGTATCTGAGGAATGTGTTCTGGATAGATTCTAAGTCTAGAGCTGCATATAGTTTCTTTGGCGATGTGGTTGCATTTGACACGACATGCTTGTCAAATAAATATGAGATTCCACTCATAGCATTTGTTGGAGTAAATCACCATGGGCAATCTGTTCTGCTGGGCTGTGGTTTGCTTGCAGATGAGACATTTGAAACATATATCTGGTTATTTAGGGCATGGCTTACTTGTATGCTAGGTCGCCCTCCTCAAACTATCATCACAGGCCAGTGCCAGGTAATGCAAAGCGCAATTGCAGAGGTTTTCCCTAGGGCTCACCATCACCTTTGTCTGTCACATGTCATGCAAAACATTCTTGAGAAGTTGGGAGATTTTCTGGACTTCGAGACATTTCAAATGGTATTGAGTAGGACAGTTTATGACTCTATAAAGGTGGATGAATTTGAAATGGCGTGGGAAGCTATGATCCATCGTTTTGGACTTGTAGATCATGAGTGGCTCCGACAATTGTATGAAATTCGAGAACGATGGGCTCCTGTTTACTCAAAAGACACTTTTTTTGCTGGAATGTCCACTTTTCGTAAGGGTGAATCTCTTTGCCCATATTTTGATGGCTTTGTGCAACGGCAGACTTCTTTAAAAGAATTTTTTGACATCTATGAGTTAGTTCTACAAAAGAAGCGTCAAAAGGAAGTACTTGATGATTTTGAAACAAGAAATTCAAGCCCCATCCTGAACACACAGTGTTATTATGAGTTGCAGCTTTCTAAATTGTACACAAATGAAATATTCAGCAAGTTCCAGGATGAGGTTGTGATGATGTCCTCTTGTTTTAGCATAACACAGGTTCATGCTACTGGACCCATTGCAACATATGTCGTTAAAGAACGTGAAGGTGAGGGAAATATGACTAATGTTAGGAATATTGAAGTCATGTACGATAAAGCTGGAGCAGAAGTTCGGTGCATTTGCAGTTGCTTTAACTTCAATGGGTATCTCTGCCGACATGCTTTGTGTATTCTTAACTATAACGGCATGGAGGAAATTCCATTTCAGTATATATTGCAACGATGGAGGAAGGACTTTAAGCGCCCCTACGTGCCTTATCTTGGGTCTAATAATGTTGACATCAATAACCCAGTTCAGTGGTTTGATCATCTGTACAAACGAGCAATGCAGGTTGTTGGAGAAGGGATGATTTCTCAAGATCATTACATGGTTGCTTGGCAAGCATTCAAAGAATCTCTGAATAAGGTTCGACTCGTAGCAGACAAGCATGTATAAATATTAATAATAGGAATGTATAGAAATTTTTGTAGCTAGTTTTCTCTCTTGCATGTACCAAAACTCTTCAATCTGTGTCTGCACATGTCATACTGTAATCTATGTTGTAGATTAACTCACTGAACAGCATTATAAACATAGTGATTTATATATTGCGGAATAAATCATTTAACAATCCAAAGGCGTCTTTGAGCTGAGCCGACAGTTATTGTCTTTTTGACCCCTACTGCAAATTTTCGTAGTATGAGTCGATTTTGTTTAGATTTCTTTATGTACTTTGGAGGTGTGGAGATTGTTGGATAAAAAACATTCACTTTCTGCTACTTGTATTTAATATATGTTGCAGGGAATAAAGACTTGAAGCAGAAGAAATCTGCTTAATCCTACCATTATTTCTGATTTGCTCAATTTTCATGGCTAGTTTTGTTGAAATTTGGCTCATTTGCACTCTGGCTTGCCATATTCTAAAACCACCATGTTCATAAAAGAACAAAATTGTACTTTGTAAAATCTTTTATTTGAAGAGAAAGAAATGTTGTTGAGCTCACAAATCTTAAAAAGTTATATAAATTAATATCAGATTTAAGGTTTTTTTTAATGAAAACATTGTTTTATCTAAAAAAGAGTTATGTTTTTCTTAAATTTTCACAAAGAATGACAATTGATGATAATTTTTTACAAGGGAAATTAAAAAAAAAAAAATGATTATTGTGAAATGCAAAGTTCAAAATTATTTATTATTTTACGAGTATGTTATTATTTTTTAATTTTAAATTATTTTAAAATATGTTAATTTGTATAAAACGTTTGTATATAAATATATATTTTTATTTTATTTCGATTGAGCTTAAAAAATATTCATGAAAATATACATATGTATGAAATAAAGAATATATTACTATTGGATTGCTGACGTGGCGCACTCACATAATGAACCTGTGATATCATGTAAAAGGAAACCGGACTGATACCTGACCTGGAAACACTAAACTCACCCGTCAAGCTCGCAGACTTTTTTTAACCACCAAACAAACAAACGCCGCTTCTCAGTCAGAATCACACCGTGATCTTCGGGTCATCGGGTCCTTCTCGTCGGATCCAAATCGCGACAAAAAAACGACGCCGTAAGCTCCTCCAAAATTCTCTGGTCCTTCCTTTAATTTTATCAATTGAATCTTGTTTAATGCTTCTTTCTCTGTATTTCGCTGTTTGGTTGCCATGAAAGTGAAGGAAAAATAAATAAAATAAGTAAATCTGAATATTTTCGTTTTGTTTACTTCTTCATTTTCTCGGCAACCAAACAACTTAGAAGATTAACGTAATAAAGTAGTTACAGTTTGGAGCTTATATTGAGAAAAGGTTATATAGCTCCAGAATTAGCGATTTTAAGCGATGTTTTCACTAGCACCTTAAATACTTAGTGATATGGAGAGGTTGCTATTTATTATTGTGATTTTTAATCTTTACAAGTTGTGTATGATAGAATTCTTCTGAGGTTGAGTCTACTGACATGAATAAAATTTATTGTTTAAACCCGTGACTGAGGAACAGTTATTGCTAGAACATGTGTATAGTTGAATAAATGGAAATGCTAGAGAGGATTTGAAACTTGAGGAAAATATTAGACACCAATAAGAAAGCCAGCTTTGCTATTTGGTTATGTTGAAAGATTCTGAACTGGTAAATAATAATTCTGGCACATTGTCGGCGAATAAATGATTTTGAAGTGTTTCTTGTTTCAGAAGTTGCTTCTCAATCCATTTGGTTGTCAGTAGCTTAACATTTTAATTGCTACTCTGGAATTCAGTCAATGTGAAATTGTGGTGATACAGAGAAGGAGTCTCTTTAACTAAATTATTCATCTCAGCATTGTTAATTTTTCTTTATTTGCTTATTGCTCCATTTTTTGTGTATGTTAATTACCAAGAAAATTAGTTGCCACCTTGGACAGGAGACATTCAATCTTGTATGTCGGGGTTTAGTTTCAATATTTGGCTGACTGAAGTCACCATTATTTGTTTGAGGTATTAGTTGGATTGCATGTGTATAATGTGAGTTTTGATAAATATTGCAGATGGAAGAAGCCCCTCTTAGTTGTGAGCAAGTACCTGAAGGTGAATACTGTGTGTCGCAGAAAGAAAGAGATGGTGAAACAACAGTATTAGATGGTCAGAATGGTTTAATTGAAGAGAAAAAAGAATTTGTTGCTCCAGCTGTTGGGATGGAGTTTGAATCATATGATGATGCTTATAACTATTATAACTGCAAAGCTAAGGAAGTGGGCTTTCGTGTTAGAGTGAAGAATTCATGGTTCAAGCGTAATAGCCGGGAGAAGTATGGTGCAGTACTTTGCTGCAGCAGTCAGGGTTTCAAAAGAATTAAGGATGTAAACCGTTTAAGGAAAGAAACAAGAACTGGTTGTCCTGCAATGATAAGAATGCGATTGGTGGAATCCAAAAGATGGAGGATTATTGAAGTTACTCTTGAACACAACCACATATTAGGTGCTAAGGTCTACAGATCAATAAAGAAGATGGGTGCTGGAACCAAAAGGAAGTCACAGTCAAGTTCTGATGCAGAAGGACGGACAATCAAGTTGTACCGAGCACTTGTAATAGATGCAGGGGGAAATGCAAACTCGAACTCAAATGGAAGAGAACTCAGGAATCGTTCTACTCATCCTAATCAGTTGAACCTTAGAAAGGGTGACTCTCAAGCCATTTATAACTACCTATGCCGAATGCAATTGACGAATCCAAACTTCTTTTACTTGATGGATCTCAATGATGAAGGGCATTTGAAAAATGTTTTCTGGGTTGATGGTCGGTCCAGGGCTTCATGTAGTTACTTCAGTGATGTTATCTATGTTGACAACACTTATTTGTCAAGTAAATATGAAATCCCACTAGTGGCATTCGTTGGAATTAATCACCATGGCCAATCTGTGTTGCTGGGTTGTGGCCTGCTTGCTGGTGAGACTACTGAGTCTTATATTTGGTTGCTCAAAGCATGGCTTACATGTGCTTCTGGACGGTTTCCACAAACTATTATTACAGACAGGTGCAAGGTGTTGCAGACTGCAATTATTGAGGTGTTTCCAAGTGCTCATCATCGTTTTGGTTTGTCTCACATAATGAAGAAAGTTCCAGAAAAATTGGGAGGGTTGCGCAACTATGATTCCATTAGAAAGGCACTTATCAAAGCAGTTTATGAATCCCTGAAAGTTATTGAATTTGAAACGGCATGGGGATTTATGGTCCAACGCTTTGGAGTTGTTGATCATGAGTGGCTTCGTTCTTTGTATGAAGATCGAATCGTATGGGCTCCAGTTTATTTAAAAGACACTTTTTTCGCTGGAATGTGTCCTACACAGCTAGGTGATATCCTTAATCCATTTTTTGATAGATATGTGCATAAGCAAACTCCTTTGAAAGAATTTCTTGATAAATATGAATTAGCTCTACAAAAGAAGCACAAGGAGGAAAATCTTGCAGATATCGAGTCAAGAAGCTCGAGCCCTACGCTGAAAACAAGATGTCCATTTGAGTTGCAGCTTTCTAAAATATACACTAGAGAGATATTCAAGAAGTTTCAGTTCCAGGTGGAGGAGATGTATTCTTGTTTTAGTACAACACAGTTACATGTTGATGGGCCAATCATAATATTTTTGGTCAAGGAGCGCGTATTGGGTGAAGGAAATAGGAGGGAGATCAGGGACTACGAAGTTTTGTACAATAGAACAGCTTGTGAGGTTCGTTGCATCTGCAGCTGCTTTAGTTTCTATGGGTATTTATGTAGGCATGCTTTGTGTGTGCTTAACTTTAATGGCGTGGAGGAGATCCCTTCTAAGTACATCTTGTCACGGTGGAAGAAGGACTATAAACGCTTGTATATTCCCGATCATGTGTCCAATAACGTTGATGCCATTGATCGTGTGCTATGGTTTAATCAGTTATATAAAAGTGCCTTGCAAGTTGTGGAGGAGGGAGTGATTTCTCTGGACCATTACAAAGTTGCATTACAAGCTTTTGAGGAATCGTTAAATAGGGTTCATGATGTTGAAGAAAAGTAAGAATAACTAACGATGCAAAGGTGCGATATTTTTTGTAAATATTATTCCTCTCTTTATCCTATTAGTTCTCCCCCCCTCAGTTTGTTCACTTTGAGGTTTTCAGTCTTGTGCAGAATATCAAAATGTCATTATCATACATAAAGAGAGTATCATATACCAATTTTCTCTAGTTTGTAGATTCCATGCTAATGAAACTAATCAAGTTTAGATTCAGTTCTCTGATGGTCAAGATAGTTTTTAATTAAGTTCAAACATTTAGTTAATGCAGCATATTGTTTCGGTACACAAAGATTTTGTGTATTAGAAACGTTTTGTATCATTTCAAATGCGCTTCCTGATTAATTACAGGACGAGAGACTTCATCCCAAGGATCGTATAAATACTTTTGTTGTTTCTTTGCGGTGTACAATAGATTACACTGGAAAAGATACATAATTTTGTACCAGGTTTTAACATTCAAAAGCACTAAAATTAGAAGAGAGCATTTTCCCTAAACCCAATTATGTAGCTTAAGGGAGCTTCTCAATTTTCCCTAAATTCTGTCTGTAAAATCCTTGGAGCATATAAATTAATTACCTGATATAGTTTTAATTGCAACTATTCGTTTTTGTTAATAGGACTTTCTATTCATGGCTTTAACTTTCAATATGAAAGAAAATATTTATTGTCTTAAAGTTGTATGTTGCAGTACAATTGAAGGGTATATGATTAATTAAGCCATCAGACAGTAATGGTCAGTTCATTATTTCTTCACTTAATTTTTTCATCTTTAATTTATATGATTGTGTCCCTGCTTTTAACAATACGGTGTTTCTATTTTTAAGAAGGCCTATATATTGGTTTTTGAATTCTTTACGGCCCATTAATACTCTATAGAGATTAGAGAACTCAATTAATTTCATTCCAATTGTCTCCTCTAAAACTTACATGGTTAAATTTAATCCATTCGGGGTCCATTTATGTAGACAACATTTCAAAGCAAAAGATGCTCTTTCAATCACTAGAAAATTATAGAATTAATTAAAATTGACTAAAAGTCAATGCATATATATATATATTATGATTTATATACAGCCTCCATTCTTGAATAAGATTAATTTGGGTCCCATACGTGGAAAAATTTCCTAGAACTTTACTGATTGAAAGAGCATCTTTTGACCAATTTTCTTCTTCTTTTTCTAAACTAATAACACATCATAATTGAGGGACAAAATTGTTTTGAAAGAAGATGGTCCTTGGCTTAAAGTTAATCGAGTGGGGGACAAAATAATTTGGAATGAAAGGAAAGAAAAGGAAAGGAAAGGAAAGCTATGTGCATTGACATGCTTGAGAGCACTAAAATTCAAGCCATACATGGAAAAAAAATTGCTAGAATTTGGACTATAGTGATTATAATTAATTATTTAGAAAAAAGTAGAAGAAAATTGGCCAAATTTTTACTGATTCCAGCCAGCGTCCAAAATTTAATCAAACACCACCATCTAAACCATCGGTCTCCACTCTACAAAACTCCTCTAACTCGGCACTTGATAGCTCCCTATTTGCTGGTCATGACTCTCATATTGGGTTGAATTTTCCAACCAAATTTTGGATTATTCTGACGTCCAAAATTCAATCCGACACCACCCCTCGAACTATCGGTCTCTATTTTACAAAAGCCCTCTAACCTCAATACTTGGTAACCCCTCGTTTGTTGATGATCAAATTATGGATTTTGTGAATAGTAAAAAATAGTAATCAGACCAAAGAGGCTACCGGTCTTGATTGGACTGGTCCGATTGGCTAGTCCAGTCTGGGTTTTAAAAGTGTAACAGCCCCCTACAGCACTTAAATTTTAGGGTTACTTCCATTTTATACATTAAAGTCATCTTACTCTTCTCATTATTTACCCTTTTTTTTTTTTTTTTATNTATGTGCATTGACATGCTTGAGAGCACTAAAATTCAAGCCATACATGGAAAAAAAATTGCTAGAATTTGGACTATAGTGATTATAATTAATTATTTAGAAAAAAGTAGAAGAAAATTGGCCAAATTTTGACTGATTCCAGCCAGTCCAAAATTCAGTCAAACACCATCACCTAAACCATCGGCCTCCACTCTACAAAACTCCTCTAACTCGGCACTTGATAGCCCCCTATTTGCTGGTCGTGACTCTCATATTGGGTTGAATTTTCCAACCAAATTTCGGCTTATTTTGACGTCCAAAATTCAATCTGACACCATCCCTCGAACCATCAGTCTCTACTTTACAAAAGCTCTCTAACTTCGATACTTGGTAACTCCTCGTCTGTCGATGATCAAATTATGGATTTTGTGAATACTAAAAAATAGTAATCAGACCAAAGAGGCTACCAGTCTTGATTGGAACGGTCCGACTGGCTGGTCAGTCTGGGTCTTAAAAGTGTAACAGCCCCTTGCAGCAGTTAAATTTTAGGGTTACTTCCATTTTATACATTAAAGTCATCTTACTCTTCTCATTATTTACCAATTTTTTTTTTTTTATTCCAATTTATTTACTAATTTTTTTTTTAAGAAATTCATGTTCCTTTTCATCTTCTTTCCTTCTATTCCATTTCTCTCTTCCATTTTCTGCAGAAAATTCTCACCCTTCATAATTTTCTAGGAAAATTTCTCATTGTTGCACTTAAAATTTGCTGCAAAATAGGATGCAAAGGTTCCATGGGAGTGGACCATAAACTCCCATAATCTGAAAATTCTTGAACACCCAGCACCAACTATCCTGACACCTAGCACCTCGTTCCAAACACCTTAACACACACAAAAAAAAAAAAAAAAAGAACAGAGAACAAACAATTCTTAGGCACCCAGCACCTAACAATCTCAAATTCTCAAATCAAGAGGTGGAGGATGAAGCTAAAAGATCTTTCGAGAGCATGGCCACTATTGTTGGTCCTGAGACACAAAAAATAGTACAAGATCCAAGTGTTTATTCGTCTCTGTTAATTTCTCACTACAGTTACTTTTCAGAGACATCATTTCTCAAAATAACAAAAGCACATAAAAGGTAATCGTCATTATTGTTTCAAAAGTCCAATGTCTCACATCTTCAGATCAAATGTTAGAAGTCCACAGGCTCCATGATGCAACTAAAGCAAACCGAAAAAAATTTGAAGAAACAAATTCTTTGTTTTCAACTGGAACCACCACCACCACCACCAGATAAAGTTAGTGCGTTCAAAAAGCTAATCTCATGTTTCTGAAAGAGTATAAAATATCCAACCTAAATTGATTTACAAAACAAAAAATAAAAATAAATAAAAATAAAAAGCAATTTTCAGATATCTCAATTAACCTAAATTATAAAAAAAGTAACAAATTTGTTCCAGCGTTGGTGTTGTAGACCAATTTCTCCGACCAGCTTAGGCCGCATTGTTCTGGCACTGCCCTGGGTGTCCGCAAGCATGGTCTGAAATGCCACTTCGTAGTCTCCTACACCAGGTCCGCATTGGAGGTTGCTGCTTTTCCAGTGGTGTAACCCTTTGAATATCAGATGTAGGAGAGAATTTGTCAAGCAACTAGGAATTATTCCTGACACAAGGAATGCAAACTCCACATACAAGAATCTGTCACCAAAAACAAACACATGATAGTGAATTACACACTAGAAAAGAAGATGTTATAAACCAGATGAAAAAGCACATACCAGTGTTATTTTAATGTCCTTTAATCATGAATCAGTAGATTCAAAACATGGAAGAAAAACATTATAAGTGGCTTCATCCTCCCACTGCAGCTCTGCACTTTTGGAATTAAGAGGAAGCTTCTTAAGCTTTAGGGGTATCGCCACTTTTAGTTCCTTTAATTGTGGAAAGGGCAGTGCTTCCACATAGATGTTAGTGAAAGAATTGGAGTTTTGAGATAAGAGTTTAGAGGATCACTCTCCTCCCACAAAAATCAAATAATAACACAAACTTCTTGCTTAAAATCTTGAAGATGTTTGTTGCTTTCTCGATCAAGACTTTTTTTCTTCCACAAAACATTGAACATACTTATTTGTTTATTTTTCCCTACTCCTCCCATGCCATATAAGCCAATAATTCCCACAAGTACTTGTTTATTTTTACCAATTCCTCCCATCCCATGTAAGCTAATAATTCCTGCAAGTACTTATTTGTTTAGTTTTACCCGTTCCTCCTATGCCATATAAGCAGATAATTCCCACAAGTACTTACCTGTTCCTCCATGTCGTATAAGCCAATAATTCCCACAAGTACTTATTTGTTTACTTTTACCTATTCCTCCCATGCCATATAAGACAATAATTCCCACATTTTCTCTAAGGGCATCTCCAACTTTACTAAATATTGATTCCAAGCCTACTTTTGTTTAGTAAAGAGACCTTTCATCCATTGTTTGTGCACGCACCCGCACACTTAACAATTGGAAAATTCCCTTATCCAATAGCTGTTACTATAGCGCCACTATTTCCCCCCTTTCAAGCACTGAATGCCATAACATAACCGTCCATTTCACTTTCAAGTTATGAAAATCTTTTCACATCTTTCCATAACCGAATATGATCGAACACCTGCAATACAAAATAATTTTTCTTCTCAAGCTACCCTTAAAAATCATATCACAAATCACATGCATTTATATACTACATTCTGCTTCTAATAAACACGCAAAAATAAAAATAAAAACACCAATAATTCTGTATCATAGATATTCTGATCCACAGCTATCTTATCCATCCACAAAAACCTAAGCAATCAAACAATCTATTAAGTTTTCTTCATAAATTCTATTGTCTTATGGAAATAAAGTTAAACATAGATATAATAAACTCATCATTCAAATTATCAATAACTAATTAAGAATCAAACCAAATTAATACACATCTTTTTCATACCTGACAAAGAAGGGGATGCGCAATGGCTGGATCACTGACTGCTTGTAGAAGACTGTGACTCTCTTTCTCCCTACTCCTCCCATCCCACATAACCAAACAGTTCATTTGTTCTCCCCCGAAGGGAAAACTGATATTCTCCAACCAATAATGTCGAGAGAGAAGAAAAGCACGGCCATTGTGGTGTAAAAAAATGAGGGTTACCTATTTTAGTAAAGTAGTGTTTGTCGTTTTATTCGGGTTAAATAACATTTTCCCCACTCATGTTTAATAAACAAATTTTAGCCCCTCCTGATTTGGGAAACACAAAATTGCACCATGTGATTTTCTCGCGTTGTTATAAAAATCCGCAACAACCAGCGAGACTTGATCGATCTTGGTAGGATCAAATCCAATGGGTGTGTGGTGTTAGACTTTTTATTATGGTTCTACACTTTTATACGAATGTGGTCATACGATTGTGTCTCTTCTCTTGAGCAGTTGTCTTTGATGGAAAGACAACTGCATATAAAAAGGAGACTTTACAGGTCCCCATTAGACGCAATTTTCATTTTAGATTCCCAGAAACCATCATTCTAAAATTGCAATCAATGGAAGATCCTGTAATTTGAAGGAGCAAGAAGATTAAACAATAATTGTTATGGCTGGAGGTTTGTCATTTACTTCCGCATATATTCCATGGAGATTGTATGATGAAACTGATTGCATTATCAACTTTTATATGAATATTGGAATATGAATGTATTTTTACATGTGGTTGTGGATCAACCAGCAAAGTGAGACGAGCAGGTCGATAATGGAAGATAAATAGGCCGAAAGTAAATAGAAACAAAAAAGGATTTTTAAAGAAGTGTGGCGGCTGATTTCCAAGCATATGTCCTTTGTTATTTTATTGCTCATGATTAACTTTACATTCAGGGCAATTACAGGGGGAAGTGTTAGCAAATAAGTGCACAACGAGGTAAACCGTCTGGCTGTTCTCTCTTATTCTCTTTGGGCTGACTATTTTTCTTTTAAGAGTGTAATGAAATGAAGGAGGTTTCCCTTTTATACCCTCCGTCTAACTGTGGTTGAGGGTTGGTGATTACGAGGAGATTTAAACGCAAGATCCCTCCTAATCCGGATTGTATTAGGTATGCCATGCCTAAGACAGTCAGCCACATGCCTAAGACAGTCAGCCACTGCACTAGTGCACTTGAAGCTGTCAGTCTTGATGGAGAAGTCTATGGTTGGGGCGATGCCACATGGGAAGAGAGTGGCCTTTGAGAACAGTAGGTGGACAGATTGCGTGCATCCTATGACTAGAAAATCTATCTCAAAACACTTCGGGACATGAATTTATGTGGCCGACGGATCAGCTATAACATTTGGTTGAAGAAAGAACATTAGCTAGAATAGAAGGAATTAACGATGTCTTCAGCACATGGCATGGTTCAATGGTTACGGTTGCAAGAAATATGAAGTAGTCCAAGCAACGATTACAATTAAATTTTTTTTTTTTTTGGACTATGAAAATGTTTAAGGAAAGCAAAACTTCTGATCAAAGAAATTAGACAACTGGGAAGAACTTAAAAAACAGCTTAAGAGATTTGTAAGAGATCTCCTTAAGAAGGTGCAATGGTTAATTTGGACCATCTTAAAAATGACCCTTTCACATTAAATTTACATGGTACCACTTCATTTAATTCTCCTTTGCAATTAAATTTTACAATTATAATGGAATCCAACACCATAACCTGGAAATTAAAGAACAGCATATGATAAAATACCAACCATTGGATTTTCTCCTCCTCGCGGATCAATGCTACACTGATCACGTTTAAAGACACAAACAGGTATAGGAAGAGTGGTTCTTCGGGCATTGGTTTGGATAACAGTGAAGGTTGTCCAAAGTGTTTCTTTAACTCCTAGAAGGCTTTCTCGCACTCTTCTGTCCATTTGATACCCTTGTTGCCCTTTAACACCTTGAAGAAGGGCAAACACCAATCCGTTGCTCGAGACACAAACCAGCTAAGGGCGGCTACTCGCCCTATCAAACTTTGAACTTGTTTGAGCTTCGTTGGACTTCTCATGTTCAACAGCGCTTGAATTTTTTCTAGATTCGCCTCAACACCGCGCTGGTTTACCATGAATCCAAAAAGCTAACCTTGAATGCACACTTCAGAGGGCTTATTTCATTTAGTATTTTCTAAGAATATTGAATGTCTCTCTAAGGTGCTCGACATGGTCTTGTGCATTTTTTGACTTGACTAGCATATCGTTGATGTATACCTCTATGGTTTTGCCTATCAGTTCAGCGAACATTTTGTTGCTAAATGTTGGTATGTTGCTCCGTTGTTCTTTAGGTTGAATGACATGACTTTATAACAGTATATACCATGGTTGATGACGAATGAGATATGCTCCTGGTTGGGCTTGTACATCAAGATTTGGTTATATCTCGATAAGTATCCATGAAGCTAAGTAGAGCTTTTTTAGTTGTTACATCTACTAGCTGGTCTATCCAAGGTAATGGGAAGTTGTCATTCAAGCACGCCTTATTCAAGTTTGTGTAATCGACGCAGGTTCTGTTAGGAGATCATGCAGCGGAAAACATACATTCGAGATAATAACATAGGAATAAATCATACCACACAAAGAGACATGATATTTATGTGGTTCGGTATAACCATCCTACATCCACGAATGAGGGAAATCTACTATATATAGTTTCATGAACATGATATACAAAAGTACACAACACCATAAACCCAGTATATAAAACAGAGCAAAAACATCCTAATTTCTAACCACGCTCAACCTAGTATCTAGAGTGGAAACAATCCTAGTTTCTAAGACATTCTCCTCATGGTGTTTAATAACTCTTACATCAAATACTCTGTGTTCTCATATTCACTTATAACCTTGAATTGGTTCTCACTCTTATATTTATAGGTAATATATGGGATATTTTATTTCTAATAGGACTCATATTTCAATTCCTATTAGGATTCCTAAATTATATTCCTGTTTACAATTGTATTATTTACCAAATAGTTTTCCTAAAGACATACAATTTTACATGGGAACAAATAGGAAAGTGGGCCATAATATCCCAAAAATCTCCACCTTGGCGAGTTTTCCATCACGGCGATGAGCATGACGAAAATAACGCTCCACCATCATTAGGGATGGGCACGGGGTGGGGGACTGGGGATTGGGGTCCTCGGACCTGTACCCGACTCCTTGGGGTTCACCCATCCCCACCCCATCAGTAGGACAAGGATGTCTTGAGATTTTATATTGTCCATCCCCGCCCCGAACCAGAGGTCAGGGAATTGTGGGTATCAATCCCCATGGGAATTTTTCCATCTCAACAGAGAATTTTCCCTGGGTGGCTTATAAGAATTATTTTAAAATATTGATTTTGTATAATTCTCCTAAAATGTTCCCAAAGTTTAGATAATTTACTTAGAAGAGAAACTCAATTACCTTAGTTTATGTAATAGTGCAATAAATTTACAAATTACAAATCTTTAAGAGATTAATTACTTACTTACAATGTGATTAGATTATTAAGTTATTAAATTGTATTGAATTAATTGACTAAATTTTAAAATATTATATAGAATATTAAAATTAAATATCAAGATTGATATTTGATAACTCATAAATCATAATCAATTATTTGATTTAATTACTTTTTTAATGAAAAATTTTTAAAGAATCAGAAACCATTAATGAAATTCATGACTAATTAATAAAAATAAAAATCAAGATTGATACATCATACATCATTGCATCAAGTCTTAACGAACCATTGAATAAAAATAAAACAATGTTAATAAAGTTTGTGACTAATTAATTGATTAGAAAGACATGAGAATAGAATTTGTGTAAAATAAAACAATGTTAATAAATAATTAATTAACTAATTAATTGATTAGAAAGACAACAAAATTTGTGCAATTTGATATTTATTTTCTAATATAGATTTCTCCTAAAATGTTCCCAAAGTTTAGATAATTTATTTAGAAGGGAAACTCAATTACCTTAGTTTATGTAATAGTGTAATAATTCAACAATTCAACATCATGAACATAACAATATGATTAAACAAGTCAATGTAATTTGTAAACCATTAAAAATAGTTAAAAAAATTAATATAACAATATGATTAACCTAGATTTTAATAAAGAGTAATACTACACTTACAAATAAATTTTACAAAGATCTTCATATAAAGTGATGTGACAAAAAATGAATGGAAGAGTGAATATAATGAGTTTGACTTTTCGTTTCACTCTTCCATTCATTTTTTGTCACCTTACTTTGTATGCAAATCTTTGTAAGGTTTATTTGTAAGCATAGTATTATTGTTTAATTTATTACCCCACTTTGGATCTAATATGGTAAAATAAATTCTAAATTTAAGAAATTATATTACATAATCATTCATCTTATTTAAAATAAGCTGAATTGTATTTCTAATAATTTATAAAATTTTGAAATATAACTTATTCACATTTAGTTAAAGATAATAAATGATGTAATTTAATAATGTGAAGCATTGAAGAAGATACTTGGACTTTTTAAGTCATATTGCTTTCGTTCAAATTAATAATCAAATGATGAAATGATATATAAATTAATAAACAGTCTTAGATTAATAATATTTATTCATCTAATATAAGATAAAAATGACTAAATTGCACGTATATGTATTGAAATACTAAATATAAGACCTATTTTATATTTCATTTAGATATATAATAATATATACATTATTATATAAAAAAAAAGGTATTTAGATATATAATAATAATATTACATTATTGTATAAAAGAAGGGGCTAGGCTACAATTTTTCAGGGCAGGGCAGGTCGGGGATGGCATGAGGCGGGGTTTTCACGAGGCCATCGAGGGCGACACGAGTTAGGGTTTTATGGGGCTTTTTGGAAGGGGGGGGGGGGGGGGGGGGTGAGGCGAGTTCCCGTCGAGGAAAACTAACCTTCATTCCCGCCTCGTCCCTGGGTGCAGGGATTTTTTTCTACCCACCCCAACCCATCACCCGAGAAATTTGGGGAATCCCCGCCCCAATCGGGTCGGGTTGGGGTGGTTCCCCATCGGGGCAAGCGAAACGGCCATTTCTAACCATCATGGCATCCAAGTCACAGACTAACCTTGTCTATTTTTTCTAGTATCCAGGTCGCACAGTAACCATGTCAAATTTTGCTGCCAAGATTTGAGAATGATCCACCTATAACTTAAACTTGTTGTAGTTCGTCTCTTATGTGCATCCACTATCTCAAAAGAACTCATCTCCCAGGTCGTAACTTGGAGCTCTAATACCGCTTGTTAGAAGATCGCGTAACAGAAAACATACATTTGAGATAATAAACACAGGAATAAATCATACCATACAAAGAGACACGATATTTATGTGGTTCGACATAACTTATCTACATCCACGGTTGAGAGAAATTCACTATAGTTTCATGAACACAATATACAAGAGTACATGATATGATAAACCTGGTATATAAAGCAGAGCGAAAACATTTTAGTTTCTAACCATGCTCAACCTAGTACCTAGAGTGGAAACCAATGTTTTTAAACCCGGACTAGACCAGACCAGTCGATCTGATCGGTTCGACCGGGTTTTGTTCAAAAATCCAGTTCACTAATACAATAAAAATGCATTAATTATTTAGACCATTTTAAACTGTTGTTGGACCGGCAAGACATTGCCAGACTGTCGGTCCAACTGGCCTGATAGCAAAATTTGGTCCACAATAAATCAAAATCCCTAAAACCATTTCACCCCATCTCTCCTTCTTCATTTGACATTTTCAACTTCGAAACAGCTTTAGCCTTCAAAGTTCAGCTCTTATCTCTTACCAAAGAAATTGATTTTGTTATTCAATTGAATTAAAACAAAAACACCCTAAATAAAAACAAACTCACATGTTCGCATATTGTGTGAGAGCATTGAGACAAAAAACACCATCGATTCAATCCCATTTCTCTTGCATTTCTATATATCTGGGTTTCACGTGTGACTTGCGGGCAAGTTGCTTTTTTTGGTTTATTTATTTATTTATTTTGTTTTCGTTTTGTTTTTAGAAGGCTGAAGCAAACCAAATCCACAATCCAAAATTGTAACTTGATGATATGCAGGGGAACTAGGCTTGAAAATCTCACCTAAAAAAGAAAGAGAAAAGGACAGGAGAAAGAGGAGAGAGAGAAAAAAAGATGAAGGAAAGAAGAAGCAGAGGAAGAAAAGAGGAGATGAGTTGATCGGTGAGAAAACAAAAAAAAAAAAAAAAAAATATATAATATATTATTATATATGAGAGAGAGAGAGAGAGAGAGAGAGAGAGAGAGAGAGAGAGAGAGAGAGAGAGAGAGTTGTTGACATCAGCTCTCTGACCCGCTAATCATGCCAGTTGGATCACCTAGACCGAAAACCGGTCATTTGGCCGAGTCACCTCCAGGTCCGGGTTTCAAAACATTGGTGGAAACAATCCCAGTTTCTAAGACACTCTCCTCATGATGTTTAATAACCCTGACATCAAATACCTTGTGCTCTTACATTCTCTCATAACCTTGAATTGGTTCTTACCTGTATATTTATAAGTAATATATGGGATATTATATTTCTAATAGGATTCATATTTTAATTCCTATTAGGACTCCTAAATTATATTCTTATTTACAATTGTATTCTTTACCAAATATTTTTCCTAAAGACGTACAATTTCATATGGGAACAAATAGGAAAGCGAGTCATAATATCCCAACAGGTTCGTCATTTGCCATTTGGTTCTTTGACGAGCATGGGATTTGCAAGCCAATTTGAATACTTAACTTCCCGAATGAACTTGATTTCAAGGAGCTTGTCAACTTTTTCTTTGAGCACTCGAGAGCATTTTGTATCCATTGTCCTTCTTTTCTGGCAGATAAGTCGAGCCTTCGAGTAGATATTAAGATGGTGGCAAATGACCTCGTGGCTTATACCCACCATGTCGATGTGGATCCAGGCGAAGACGTCCAGGTTTGCCTTTAAACATTCAACCAATTGTTTAAGCAACTTCTCGTCGAGGTTGCCCTCCTCAATCTTAAGCGTGTGAGTAGGTTCTTGCTCTTCGATGGAGACCTCGCGCAAATCCTCTATCGAGCCAATTGAAGGTTCGTCCTTGTGAGCGCGAGGATCAATGGTATCCCTGCTTGGTCTAGGCTGAGGCTTAGTCCTTGTGATCATCATTGCTTAAGGTCACGTTTCCTTGTCCCAGTGCAAGTGCAAACCGACGCACCATTTGTGGGTGTCCAATTGAAGTGAAGTGTGATCTTTGCGTGCTCGTGAGGAATTTGCTTGTCTTTGGCGTGGGTTCAAACCAGCAGGCTGGGCTTGATCATGCTCTCACTAAGAGTGAGCAATCTCACGACGACCTTCTTGATTGTTGTTTTCAACATTGTCGGCACGGTTAGTATCAATTTGGCTCTTGGAATTTCAGGTGCATACCATAATTGCTATGGGGCGGCTGTGATTGTTGTTGATGAATACGATTTCTTAGGGGAGACCCTCTTCTAATGCCAAAATATTGTTACAAAAATACGCAATAAATAGAGTTACCCCATTGACCTTGGTGGAATTGGATAAGATGCGCATGATTATGGAAAATCAGCAAGTGATTGATTAGAATAAAAATAAGAAGAAACAAAAAGGATTTTTGAAGCTGTTCAGCAAGTTTGAATGAAGCTTATGTCCAAATGTTATGTTATTAGGATGCTTTTGGGTTGATTACAAGAGAATTTTGAGCCGCTCGCTTACAAGAATAATGAATGGTGAGCTGTTCGCTTACAATTATAGTGTTTTTTTCTCTCAAATGCAAAACCCCCTTTCTTGATTTTATAAGGGTATTTATACTATCCGATTACAACATGAGAGATTTTAGGGATAATGGCCTGATTTTTTGGAAGTTAATCCCATGATTCTTGGCATGGTTGATACTTGATAGGCCGCAATTGTACGAACTGTTTCCGTGATCTGCTCGTTGATTTCCGTAGATAATGCTTTATCCTTGATTTTTAGTGATAAGGTATATCTGTAAGATGGAAGACAACTGCCTAGCAACTGGCTCTAATATGATCGTCGCTATGCTGTCTTTCCCGTGCTATAGCTTGCTCCGAGCTGGTGGCATAATAGTGTTAATTTGGCACCAATCCAATTAATTTTTTGGTTCGCCCTTTGTACGCCGTTCTACTTGACTATCTCAAATGCTTTTATCAAAATTCCAGATGCTTGCATGGCAAAGCTATCCTCAATGTAAGAGCATAATAAAATAACTACCAGTTATTTTCATGATTAAATAGTGGTTTGCTTATAACTGAGTCATACAACCAAACAAAATTTACACAAAATTTATGTAAAATGACTACGTTGTATGACTCAGTTGTAAACATACCATTGCTCTTCATGATTTGTCCTATATTGGGATTCTCAGATATCACAATTAACTTCAGATAAAAAGAAAATAGCTAATCTTTAAGCCTGGGTTCTTGGAACAATTTGTGAGTCAACCATTGAAAGAAAGTTCCAGATCCAATGCTCTATTGAAGAGAGAACAATATTTGGTAGAGGAAAGAAACATTACATTGGATTTTTAAAATGCAACTGCAATGGTATCACACAGACCCAAAAGGAGTTCAAAATTAACAAACAAAAGGCCATGTTATCCAAAATGTTAATTCTGAAACAGAGGACTTAAATACAACCAACTTATTCTTACATATTGGCTTCTTGACAAGATTATGGCCTTCTCAGGTAAAAAAGCAGAGAAGACTGCAGGGACAGAGGAAATGAAAAATAGAGATAATCAAATAACAGGCAATCTACTCATTACTCCTGATTCAGATCAACCTCAGAGTGACTCAATTTAGGGAAGGCAGTGGCTAGGCTACTGAGTTACCAAGCACATCGGCGGCGTGATCTGTGACTAGCTTTTGCTCTTTCATTTCCCTTGTTGGTTTCTTCTACTTCTTCTCAGATGCCACTGCTGTATTCTGCTGAGCAATGGAGAGGCAGATGAGAGTTAATCATTCATGAATTTGAAGCTGTAGAGACTGGTAAAGTACTGACCAATCTTTCCGCAGCCTGTATGACAATGAACCATCAGTTATCCAAATTGATTCCCACATGCTCAGAAGAACTAGAATGTAAAAGGCAGTCACCATGATTGTTTAGAATGTCCAACCTCAATTTAAAATGACACAATTCTCAGATAAAATTTTTGAAGTTCAAAAGTTCCATAATGTTATTTCGAAGAAAGAAAATCTTTTTTAAATTCTCACAATGATCTACCAACTAACAAATTTTGATGAACTAAAGCAGTTGCCACAGAACATCATTTTTGTTTGCCTGCCATCATGTATGGTGCCACAATAATTGGCCATCATGTATGGCCAATTATTGTGGCAAGTTGAAAACTCAATATGCTTAATTTCAATCTGAATATCAAACATGAAGCAGAAAATATGATCATTTAACTGTACATTACATGCAATCTTCTTGTTATGTTTGATTTAAAACAACCTCAAAAAGTACCTTGTTTTGGAGGAGACAGGGTTTGGCCACTGAGTTTCTTCCAGCAACTTCTATCATGAGTCTTCCTGAATTGGGTACAAAGAGTGGACGGAAACAATTGCAGGATGGAGCAGGAAGACTCATGTTTTTGAAAAGAATATCAGGAACTCCATGGAACTGGCCACAGCATAGTAAAGTACAAATTTATTATCAAGAATAAACCTAACTTTAAATTGATAAAAAATCTGAATGGTTAGATTTTTTAATATACTGGTTAACTTTAGATTGTAAAAGAAATAGCAAACCTTTGAATCTTGATCACAAGAGAAAATTTTTCAAGCAACTAACCAGCTCCCTGACACCAGCCACATGCATCCAAGAATATGACACACACAAACATAAAGGCTTTTAAAAGCAAATTACAAATCAGAAAGAAACAAGAAACCCAAATATATTAAATGGAAGAAAATTAGCAGCACATACCAGAAACCATTTTTGAAACAGGCTCAAAAATCTACATCCCGTTAGTAAGGTTGGAAACAAGGAAGAAAAGCACTTCGAGTGGCCTCGCTCTCCCATTCCAGCCCTTTCCACCAGTTTTCATTTCCACTAATAACAATTTTCTGTCCCTTTGCACTGTTGGCATCAAGTGGAAGCTTCTTAAGCTCGGGGCATACACGTACATAAAATTGATTAAGATGTGGAAAGGGCAAGGCATTCCAATAAATGCTCTTCAAATTTGGTAGATGCCGTATGTTTATAAAGTGAAGTTTTGCGAAAAGGTTTAGATTTTCCATCAATTCTGGAAATTCTTCAATCAATTTTCTTTCACTTATTATTTCTTTAATCTCATTACAATGAGATACAAAAAGATACTTGAGGTTTGGAACAAAAACAAGCCATGTCAAGTCTCTTATTCTAGAGCAACAAACTATTTGAACTCTGTTAAGGCTGCAGAAATTGTTAGGTTCTCTTGTTTTTTGCACTACTACCTTTACATGCTCCATCTTCAACTCTTCCAAATTTTCACAATTTTCAATTTCCAGTCTGCGAAGATGCTTGAGATCTGCTAAAGACAAAACATTGAGCATCTTAGAATCGTCAAGGCGTCGAAGCGTTAGACCATGAGTATAATTCTGAAACTTGTGGGAGTTCAGAAATGTATGGAGAGCATGACAGCTTTTTAAGGTAATACTCAGCACACATAAAGATTCCAAACCAAGCAATTCCTTCACCAAATCTTCTCCACCACCAAACAGAACACTATTTTCTACCACTTCTTGATTATAACCACAACCAATCATTCTCAGTATATATAATTCTGAAAAATTGGATATCAGTTGACTTGGAATTGTACAGAGCTTGTATGTATACTCCAGGCTTAAACATTTAAGATTTACCAAAGCTTTTAACTCCATTGGTAACTCAATTATTGTGGACCATGACAGATCAAGATGCTGCAGTGATACCAAATTTGAAATCCCAGATGGTAATTGTAATAGAAAATTATTATAAGATAAGTTTAAGACTTTGAGGGAAGACATGGATTGGAAAAAGCTACTACTAATCATCTTTAGGTTATTACCATTAAGAAACAAAGTCAAGAGATCAGGACAAGTGGGCGTCACTGATAATTCCTCAATTTTGTTTTCCATCAGGGATATCCTTTTCAATTCTTCCCATTCTTTGATCTTTGGTGCTTTAGTTAATCCAACACCCACCTGAACTAAAAACTTTTGCTGCTCCTCCTTAATGTCACATGCTATCCACAAAGTCATATCACGAATCACATCATGCATTTTTACAAAATAATCTCCTCTTTCTTCTTCTTCTTCTTCCAATAAACAGGCATGAACAAGAACACCAATAATGTAGTAACCATGGCTGTATACTTCACTTGGATCATATACATCCAAAAAGTTCTCACAAAACCAATAATCTATCAATTTTGTTTTAATAATACTAAAGTCTTCTGGAAATAAACTACAATATAAAAGACATGATCTAATCTTGTCATCAGGCAAACTATCATAACTAAACTTTAGAAGGGGATACACCTCTTTCTCCATACCTGGAAATTTAGAAGAAGCTCTCCTTAACACTTGAATTGCATATCTACATTCTTCAGGTGTCTTCTTGCAAGACATGGCTCTACCAATTGTAATGAGTGCAAGTGGTAAACCGCCACACTCTTTGGCCAAAAGTTTAGCTAACTCCAAAATATCAGGATGACTATCAAGAATTTCTCTCCCAATCTTTTTCTCAAACAATTTCCAAGCTTCCTCTTCTCCTAAACATTCCACTTTAAACTTCCTATCAGCTTCCATGAGTCCACAAACATCAAGAAAACGAGTAGTGAAGACTATTTTACATCCAACTTCCACACTACGAAGAGGGATACCCACTTTGATCAAATCAACCCTCTCCCATATATCATCTAATAAAACAATAAACTTCTTTTTGCGCAAAATCTTAAAGATGTCTGATGCTTTCTCATCAATACTTTTATTCTTCCATGACTCTCCAACTAAGCCTATCTTTTGGCCGATCCTTTCTTGAATCTTCTCCAGTTGCAAATCTCTAGACACCACTACCCAAATCACAGTGTCATAACTATTTGAAAAATCAAGAAGCTTATTGTTAATTTGGATTAAGAGGGTAGTTTTTCCAACTCCCCCCATGCCATAGAGACCAACCGTTCCCACTTGTTCTTCCTCAATACATCTCCAAGCTTCATCAAATATTAATTGCAAACCCATTGTAGGCTCACTAGGCCTTTCCTCCACCACTGATTCTAGGGGCCTCTCCGCCACTACTTCAAAAGCACCTTCACCCTTTAAAGTACAAACAAGTCTCAGCTTTTTAGCTACTTTCTTCCCAAATTTGTAGCTTGAATTGCAATTCTTAGAACAGTAGCCTCCACAACATAATTTCTCAATTTCTTGAGATCTAATTTCTGGTACTTCACCCAGCTCCAGCTTCCAAATCTTGCACCCTTGAAGCCAGCCTTGCACTTGATCCGTCCGTTTCATTTGTTGCTGTTCAGAATATTAACCCTCCTCATCACATCGTTTCTTGCTTCAATCAGTTTCTGCAATTCAGTCTGCAAGGCATCAAGATTATCTTTGGATCACTTTATACCTACCTTTCCAGTAGTGCAGTCTAAGATCCGAGAGACAATTGGGTCACATGAGACAGAGGCCGAGCAAACATTACCCATCGATTTCAACAAGGAGTCGAAGAAATGATTACTGAGTGGAGTAATTGAAAACTCGTTGTTGTATACGTTATAAGGGCATCTCCAACCCACGCCAATTTGTGTAAAAAACACCAATGGCGTGAGTTGTTGCTCCAACCCACGCCAAACGCCCGCCATTTGGCGCAGCACTGTAGCGCCAATAATTTTTTTTTTTTCTTTTTTGTTTTATTTTTTTTATTTTGTTAAGTTAATTTGAGTATTAAATTTTACATCAAAAATCATACCAAATTTGATTATTTATATTAATTTAATTAATTATTATTATAATAATAAATCTACTAATTATATAATTAAAAAATGATAAAAATTAAAACTAGAACTTCATTCAATGCAAATGTTAAACATAATAACTCAATAAAAATAACTCAGAAAATTAAATTACTATCGATATGAAATTTTACCTTTGTATTGTTTTTTTTTTTTTTATCATTTTATATTAGATGTATATTTTTCTATATTAAATGTAATGTTTTTTTTAAATAAATGTTATTTTTATAAATTAGTATAATTTTCAAAATAATTATTATTTAATAAAATATCATTCCCATATTTAATTAATATATACAAAAATAATGAGTGAAATATATTAATTATTGATTATTAGCGCCAATAATTTTTTTTTACTTTTTTTTGTTATTTTTTTTTATTTTGTTAAGTTAATTTGAGTATTAAATTTTACATCAAATCACACCAAATTTGATTATTTATATTTAATTTAATTTAATTATTATTTATAATAAAATTTATAATAATGAATAATTAAAAAAATGATGAAAATTAAAAATAGAACTTCATTCATGCAAATGTTAAACTATAATAACTCAAAATAAAAATTAACTCAGAAAATTAATTACTATCGATATGAAATTTTACCTTTGTATTGTTTTTTTTTTTTTTTTGTATCATTTTATTTAGATGTAATATTATTCTATATTAAATGTAATGTTTATTTGATTAAATAAATGTTTAATTTTATTAAATTAGTATAATTTTCAAAATATTTTATTATTTAAAAAAATATCATTCCCAATATTTAATTATATATACAAAAATAATGAGTGAAATATATTATTATTGATTATTAGCGCCAATAATTTTTTTTACTTTTTTTTTTGTTTATTTTTTTTTATTTTGTTAAGTTATTGGTATTAAATTTTACATCAAAAATCACACCAAATTTGATTATTTATATTTATTTAATTATTATTTATTTTTAATAATAATTTAATAATGTATAATTAAAAAAATGATGGAAAAAATTAAAATAAACTTCATTAATGCAAATGTTAAACTATAATAACTCAAATAAAAATTACTCAGAAAATTAATTACTATCGATATGAAATTTTACCTTTGTATTGTTTTTTTTTTTTTTTTGTATCATTTTTATATTAGATTTAAATCTTTTTTCTATATTAAATGTAATGTTTATTTGATTAAATAAATGTTTAATTTTATTAAATTAGTATAATTTTCAAAATAATTATTATTTAATAAAAATATCATTCCCAATATTTAATTAATATATACAAAAATAATGAGTGAAATATATTAATTATTGATTATTACAATAAAAGAAAAAAAAATATTCTAAAGAATATTCTTTTTGATGCAATATTTGGTGTTGTGGGTTGGAGATGGAATAGTGTTTTGCACCACATTGGTTTAATGGGTTGGAGATGGTCTAAGCAATGTTTTAAAACCCTAACGGTTGTCAGACCCAACAAAGTGACCGAGTCGCTGGTTGATAGGTCCAAACCAGCGACATAAGAAAGTTTTTGAAAAATTTATTAGTCCTTAATATTTTAATGTATTACAAAAATACCTCTAAAAACTTCAACTAATCCCAAAAAATTTTAATTTTCTACAAAAAGTCCCAAAAATTTATTAGTCCCTAAAGTTTTGAAGCATTAAAATACACCTAAAAATTTTAATTAGTCCCTATAGGTTTGAAATCTAGCAAAAACCTCCGTAGAACCTGAACTAAATCAGAGAGGCCGTCGGGTCCAGATCCGGGTTTCAAAACACTAGTTATAAGTTGCGTTGGTCAAAGGGGTTATTTGATTTGATTTTCTCAAATACTTATAAACTAGTATATTCATGAATGAGGGTAAAATGGTATTTGTGTATAATATTATACAAATCTGTTAATTTTTACTAATGTTTGTTAAATGTTTGGGTGTACTTATTACTTTCCAAAAGATTTGGGTGTAGGGAAAACTACGAGGAGGTAATAATCCCTTTGCTTTGTCTATGGAAAGTAAAACGCTTAAATATTGAGCAAACCTGTATTTAATAACTAGGCAGTCATTTCAAAATGCAAATGAATGTTTAACTTTTAATTAACTGCCCGGCCTATAAGATTGATCAAATTAAGAATTTTAGGGGCTAGCCATTTACATAAATAACCAGTGTTGAATAACATTATTAGAGTGCCAGGGGGGAATATGAGAGAATTTACGTAGGAGGAGCTAGCCATCGAAGCCTAGTCTAATTTACATAAATTAAGAATGGTACGGGCTGGGCCGGGGTATGTCGTCCGACCCGGCCCGATAATTTTAGTATTAATTATACTAAATTACTCTTATACTATATATTAAATTACAAGATTATCCTACACATATATACTCATTTTTCTCAAACCCTACATGGATGGATGGATGCACTTTGTGGAAAGTTATTTATATATTTGGTGAGTATTAAAAAATAAATTAATATTTAAAAATTGTTTATAGAATTAAAAATAAAAATAAAATTGAAATTTATTAATATTTAAAAAATCACATTATAAAAATGGGCGGGCTTGAGCCGAGCCTGAGGTTATAAAAAGCCCGTCAAGCCGGCCTTGGGCTTTAGTTGTGATACCCGTGACGGGCTTGGGTCGGGCTTGGGCTTTTGTTATGAGGTCAGGCTTGGGCCTGGGCCAAGGGGTACCCGATCCCGGCCCGGCCCATTGCCATCATTAGTTCAAATCCTTCATAAGTTGCTACTAAGGATAGTTACTGGAGCTCTTACCCGACCGGTAGTTTCAGGGTCCCAGAGAATTAGTTGATCCTCGGTTGCTAATAAGGATAGTCACTAGAGCTCTTATCCGGCTGATAGTTCTAAGGTCCCGGAGAATTAGTTGAGATGAGCGTAAGTTGACTTAGACACCCTCCGTTCATAAAAAAAAAAAAAATTATTTCACAATTTACCTTTATATATTAATATATATATGAGTACTGATCTATTTAAAACTTATTATAACTGTAATACCAAAGGGATTTCTATAATTAACACATCATATTTTGATCAATGTTTAGCTGCATTGATATTTTGGAGAAGATTTTTAAATTATTTTTTTTCTTTTGAATAAATATTAAATGAACAAACTCTTATACACAAACTATCACAATAAAATTGAAGGATAAGTTCATATAAAATTCAACTCAATAAATAGGATAAATGTTACATTATGTTATTTACAAAATTATAAAATGGCTTCTCAAACTTGGAGACTAATCACTCTATATTAATTGCTACATATGTAATCTCTTTGTCATTAGATTTACATTTTCAAACTAGTAATAGCAGAAGAACCCCCACCAATTTGGCATAAGGTTTTTACACAAAGAGTGTGAGTGTTAACATGACATTGATTCATGTTCGAGTCATCTCGGTCCCTAATGGGGATAACCATTGGGGAGTATATTCGGTCGTTAAATTTAGACCCGACGGATAGATGAGCATTAACTTTAATATTGTAATAAAACCTTACACATGCACAACATATAGGTATTTTTAATTTATTAAATTCACACACACACACAAAAACATGTCATAGTGATTAATATATTTAGATTTATAAATATGTATATATATTTATTAACTTTCTAATATATATTGGAAATAAAATTTATATTTTTGCAAGCAAGTATATAATATTTTTTTTTCTAAAAGCAAGTTTTACTTTAATTAAAAAATAATAATTCTTGAATAAACTAAAAATAAATATAAATGTAAATTAGCCATCTAACAATCATATATACATGCAATATATATATAGGCCGAACGAAATACACCCACCCATAGTTTGCTATAAAGATAACGTGGTACCTAAAAAGTAAAAAGTATAAAAACATCAATTACCTACCTATGGTCCAAATCTGTTAGTAAAGTTAATTTAAAAAATGATAATATGATAATTTTATATCCAAAAAAAATATAACATTCTGCCCAATTTCTCTCTTTAATATTAATTTTTTTATAATCTTTCTTCTCAGTTTTAATTATTTTATTTTTATAATTAATTTTAATTAAAATCTTGTCTTCATCTTCTTTGTCTCTCGCCAGAACTAGAGGACAACCATCAGCAAAAATGACCAAAGCCCCAAAAAAACCTCACTCAAATCACCAAAAGATTCAATGCAAAAAATCCCAAAGAATCACTCTTCAAACACTCAAAAGAACCAAAACACGCAAGGCACAAAAGGCTTGGGGCAAAACCTCAAACAAGTGGTGAACTTGGAAAATCAATCATCAATGCCAAAACCGATCAGAAATCCCCAAAAATCAAACAAAAACACACAGAAAAAAAAAAAAAAAAACACTCTCAATTAATCTCCAATCATCAATTTCCCATCAAAAACACCAATCAATCCCAATTCAACAAACAACAAAAACCCTAGGAATTCAATGGGCGGTGAAATGTGAGCAAACGACGAAGGGGAAAATGGGGGTTTTGGAGAGGGCACACCGAAAAGAGGCAGGGAGAGGAAAGGTTTTCGGTGACGGGGCTTCCGGAAAATGGGTGGGGAAGTGCAATAGCTTTGCAAAAGACCCCCCTTTTTTGCCCTTTTATGAGAGAGATGAAGAAGATGAAGACGAAAAGAGAGAGAGGAGAGAGGCGTTCGATCTGGTCATATTCTGGTGCCGAGTTTATGCCTAGTGACTGGAGGAAAAAGAGGGAGAAGGAAGGGAGATAATAAGAGAAAGGGGAGAAGAACTGAAGAAGACAAAGGATAAGAGATTTGGGCGGATTTTTTTTAATATTTTATTAATTCAATTTTTTTAACTTTTTTTTTTTATGCACAAACCCTACAACACAAAAAGCCAAAATTACCCCCACAAAAATGATAGAATGTCGATAATACCATTTTAGTTAAAAGATTTACTAACAGATTTGGATGAAAAGTGGGTATTTATTATTTCAAAACTTTTTGGGTACCAATTTATCTTTAAAGTAAACTCTAGATATGTGTAAGTCATTTCCCATATTTTTTATCTACGTAATAAGTCACTAACATGGACACCTTCTTATTGAAGCCAAAATATTTATAATTGTATGTTTGAAGCTCCCTGGCATGAAACTTTTGGTATTTTTGTACTATATTCATCCTCGTTCATTTTCTTGTCTAATTTCAGTAATGATTTCTTATTCAGTTAAAATATACATAACGTGTTGCTCATTTAGATTAATAAGGAAGATATTAATATCAATTTGATTAGTGTTGTGAAGTTGTTGAATCTAATCACTCAATTTTGTAACGACTTTTTGATATTAATTTTCATACTCAATTTTGTAACGACTTTTTGATATTAATTTTCATACTATTCTAATGGTAGTAAAACAATGAATCAAAATCTTAATACTACTAAAACATGAATTATAAAATAAGAAATCAAAATAATTATTTTTTAATCAAAATAATAATTTTTATAACTATATTTCATTAAGTTATAACTTGTTTATACTGATCAATTTAATTTGTGCCGATGAATGTTGTAGGGTTGCCATACTATATATATATATATATATATAATATAATATATATAATAAACAAGTGCAAAATACTGGTTTAGAAATTTAAATGTAAAAGAGAAGCAGTATATAAAAGAGATTTTTCAAATTGATGTTCTATTCATATATCTTTAAAAAAACATTTATTTTAGAAATCGCCTGTTCTTAAGAATCATTTTTAGTCAATCTTAATATTAGTAATTTTAGGAACTGCAGTAAAATATTTGGAATTGCAGAATAAAAAATCAAGTTGTCATACTTGTGGGTTTCCGATTTCTGGTTGTTTAACGACAAAAGCAATCAAGGAACAATTTAGTTTCAATTTCTGTTCTCGAATTTCAACTCAGTGCCCAGCTGAGTACAGGGCTTTAGTCTTTGGAATTCTCTCAAAATCAAATAAAAGTGCGGAAGCCCCGATCCCATCTCGAGAACGTTTCTTTGCTCGAGGAACTGATTAATCTGAGGTGGGTTTCATTCAATTTTATGTTTTTCCATTTATCTCATAATGTTCGATGGAATGTGTGAAAGAGTTGAAGTGTGACTTGCTTTAAAGAAATAGTTTCAATTCTTGTTCCACTTCGTTTATTTTCTATGTTTATTGTGGAAGTTTGATTTTAACTTGTGAAGTTAAATCTAGAAACTGGGTACATTCTTCTTTTGAGGTGAGTTTGGGGTAGGATTTTATTGAGTTTCAGTGTAAAGGTCTGTGTATTCGCATCTTTAATAATAAAAAAAAAATGTGTTGGCTCAAGGAATTACTTGGGTAGCTATGAGGGTGTAATTGAGAGCTTAAGAATGTTGGGGATTCATTGTCAAGGGTTTTAAACGTCTTTAGCTGGCGATGTGGAGCTTAATCTTACAAAATGAAGGGATGTTTGGATTAAAAAAGGAAACTTGTGCTACTTAAAGAGGAGATATTTCCTTCAATGTAGATGCTGTATACTTCATATTGAATTTTTTTATGGCAAAAAACAAAATACTCTTGAAAAATTTTAAAATGCATTTGGCTTTAGCTGTGGTTGTAAAGAAATGAGGTCGGCTGTGGAAAGTCTTATGTTAAGTTTTATCAAAGAAAATAAAAGAAGATTTGAAGGAGAAATGGGGTAATAGAGAGAGATTTTCTCTCCAAATTGTAAGAGGAAGAGTAACTTGAAAAATATGCAGTATTGTGGACAATCGACTTCAAATTATTTATCCTGTGATAGAATTTGAGGTGAGCCTAACTCTTTACCCAATAAGACCTTGTTGAATAGGAGGATTACCCCCTCTTATAAACCAGTAGGCTTGAGTGTGCCTAGTCGGTGTGGGACTCCAACACTCCCCCTCACGGTCAAGCCCATATGTTGGGTCATGTCTGTTGATGAATGTAGTTGTTGGCTCTAACTCCTTACTTGCTAGTCAAGGACTCAGCTCAACTGAATCTAGGCTTTGATACCATGATAGAATTTGAAGTGGGCCTAACTCATTTGAGGTGAGCCTAACTCTTTACCCAATAAGGCTTTGTTGAATGGGTGGATTATTCCCTCTTATAAACCAATAGGCTTGAGCGTGCCTAGTTGCTGTGAGACTCTAACACTCTCCCTCACGGTCAAGCCCATATGTTGGGTCATGTCTGTTGATGGAGGTAGTTGTTGGCTCTAACTCCTTACCCGCTGGTCAAAGACTCAACTCAACTGAACCTAGGCTCTGATAACATGATAGAATTTGAGGTGGGTCTAACTTCTCACCCAATAAGACCTTGTTGAATGAGAGGATTACCCCCTCTTATAAACCAATAAGCTTGAGCGTGCCTAGTCGGTGTAGGATTCTAACATCCTGAATTCCTATCTTGAAGATATAACATAAATAGATGTGACACTGGTCTTGTTATTTCTTTTGCCCCCTTGTCTTCTTTTTTGTGTTTCAATTTTTTCATGTAAATGAAAGCTTCAAGAAGTGATATAAAAGGGTTGATTTATTAGATTTATATTTATAATCTTGACTGCAACCTTGCTGATTGTAGACCATGAAGTTGTCTGTATGTGTGGTTTGTGGTTGTTTTGTTACCATTGAGGCAGAAATGTTGACGCGTGACTCAATAACTTTTTACGACCAAATTCCAATGTCGACTAGCCTATTCTTTTGTGTTTCTAGTCAAGTTCTTATGTCATAAATTTATGTGTTCTGGTGGTTAATTTGATCCTTGGTATGATTGAGAAAGGAAAATTGAGGAAAAACGATCTTTGGTATGATCGAGAAAGGAAAATTGAGGAAAAATTAATACAAGTGTAAGTGATCATTATAGAATCAAATTATTAAAGCTCAAGTTTTAAAAGACCTTTTTTAAAATTCCTTTAATTTTGTGAAATATTGAGCTAAATATGCAGCCTTGCAGAAGCAAATGTCTAGTTTCTTCATTTCACTTTTTTCGGCATTCATTTTCTTTATTTTCCTTTTTTCATAAAGCTCACTTTCTCCTACATCTATTGCAGATGGATGAAGTTTCTCTCAACATTGAGCCAACAGGTGATGATGATACTGATGATTTTGAGGTTGTTGGAGATTATGCAATGACAGAATATGTAGGTCAAACTGGTATAATCCAAAATCCCCTGCCTCCCGCAGTTGGAATGGAGTTTGAAACGTACGAGGATGTATATTACTTCTACAATTGCTATGCCAAAGAACAAGGATTTGGTGTCAGAGTTAGCAATACATGGTACAGAAAAAGTAAAGAAAAATACAGAGGAAAACTTAGCTGCAGTAGTGCAGGTTTCAAGAAGAAAAGTGAAGCAAATCGCCCAAGACCAGAAACAAGGACTGGTTGTCCAGCAATGATAAAGTTCAGGTTGATGGAAAATAAAAGGTGGAGAATTATTGAAGTCGAGCTTGAGCACAACCACTTGATTAGCCCAGCAAGTGGAAAGTTTTATAAGTCACATAAGCACATAGGTCCTGGAACCAAAAGAACATTGCAGTTAGATGGTGCTGATGAGGTACAAAAAATTCGGCTATTTCGAACTGTGATTATTGATGCTGAGGGAAATGGAAATGTAGATGTTAATGGAGAATTTGGGAATAATGTTGACCATGCCAATAAATTGAAGCTTAAACCTGGAGATGCCCAATCTGTTCATAATTTCTTTTGTCGCTTGCAGTTGATGGATCCTAACTTCTTTAATGTGGCAGATCTAAATGAAAAAGGATGCTTGAGGAATCTATTCTGGACTGATGCAAGGTCAAGAGTTGCATATAGGTATTTTGGTGATGTAGTTTCAATTGACACTACATGCTTGGCAGACAAATATGATGTGCCTCTGGTTTCATTTATTGGCATGAATCACCATGGACAATCAGTGTTACTGGGCTGTGGTTTACTTGCAGGTGAGACCATTGAATCTTATACATGGTTGTTTAGGGCGTGGCTTACATGCATGTTAGGACGCCCTCCACAATCAATCATCATGGACCACTGTAAAATTTTGCAAGTTGCTGTTGCTGATGTTTTCCCAAGAGCTTATCATTGTTTTTCCTTATCGCATATCATGCAAAATGTTCCAAATAAGTTACAAGGATTGTTTGAATATGAAGCAATTAGAGTGGCATTGAATAGAACAGTTTATCACTCTTTAAGGCCTGAGGAATTTGAAACATCTTGGGAAGACATGATCCAATGTCATGGAATAAGGGATCATAGATGGATTCAAACTTTATATGAAGATCGAAGACGGTGGGCTCCAGTTTACTTGAAGGAGACATTTTTGGCAGGAATGTTTCCAGTCCATCAGAATGAGGTTAATTCTTCATTTTTTGAAGGATATCTTGAGAAAAATACCCCTCTGAAAGAATTTCTGGAGAAGTATGATCAAGCTCTACAAGCAAATTATCAACTTGAAGCTTTGGCAGATAAGGAATCAAGAAACTCAAGTTATATGCTTAAGCCAAGGTGTTACTTTGAGTTCCAACTCTCAAAACTGTACACAAATGAAATATTGAGGAAGTTCGAGAGGGAGATCGATGGAATGTACTCTTGCTTTAGCACAAGGCATATGAATGCTGAGGGGCCAATTGTAACGTACATAGTCAAGGAAGAATTTGAAGTTGATGGAAGTAGGAGAGATTCCAGAGTTTTTGATGTCCTGTACAATCCATCCGAAATGGAGGTGCTTTGTGTTTGTGGGATGTTCAATTTCAGAGGATATTTATGTAGACACATCCTGAGAGTTCTAAACCAGAATGGTGTGCCAGAGATCCCATCTCATTACATTCTTTCACGATGGAGAAAAGATATCAAACGTTCTTATGTTCTTGATCATAGCTGCAGTGGCATCGATATTGATAATCCAGTACACAGGTATGATCATCTATACAAACACATCGTGCACGTTGTCAAGGAAGGGAGGAAATCTGAAGATCGTTACAGGGTTACAATACAAGCATTAGATGAGATATTGAAGAAGCTTCATCTTGTAGAGGATGGTCAAGTGTAATCTATAAAGGTTAGGATTAGATGTGTGTATTATGTATTTGATTTTCCCTTTGTTATAATTTTATTAAATAACAAATTTAAAATAACAGATGTATTTGGGAGGGCTTTAGGCAAAAGTGCTTGTAAAAACTTATGTCTGTATTTTCCAAAACATATATCAATTACTGGATCTTAATTTCCCAGTCTTTTTGGCTTCATTTTCTATTATCATTATTATTATTATCATTATATTCATCATCGTCATGAGATCATCATCATCATCTCAAAGCTTTCTAAGATATACTGATATAGTTGCAGATACCCACCAGGGCCTTCAAAGGAGAAATCTCCTTTAGCAGGATCATCTGACTGTCAAACGTCAAATTTCATAATTGGATAAGGAGAACTGAAGCCATATGTACAAGAAAATGCAAAAACAATATCAATATGAAGCCAAGACAACCCTGAAAAGACCCTGTACAGTATTATATATAATATCATATAGATGTAAAAACTTCTTCTGCAAATGTGAATTTGTTTTCAGGTAATTCAAAATGAAGGAAACTGATAAAGATATCCATAAAACACAAATAATCTGGACTAAGAGTAGAGCAGAGCAAGAATGATGATGAACACATCGGATTGTTAGTTGGTTGTTCATTTCATATGAAAGCTTGATCATCAGTGATGGCAATGCTTGAAGCTTCTTGTTGGCTGTTATGAATTTACTTGAGCTTTGTTTATTCATTTTTTTATTTTTATTTGCAAAACACATCTCCATTTTTCGTGTAAACGAGATGTCGTTCCTACTTCGATTTCAATTTTTTATTAATCGTAAATATCACTTTTGTCCATTAAGATTTAAGAACCATCAATTTTTGGGTTTTCTGCGCTTTATCAAATGATAGGGGGTGCAAAAAATATTTCCCATCGTGCAACACGCCGTTTACAAAACGGACGACCTGTCACTTTATTAAAAAGAATGATATCGTTTACACTATATGCTACGACATCGTTTTGTACTGAGCGAAACATAATCGTTTTATTTCCTTGCAAACGACGTTTACACCAAACAAAATGGCATCGTTTTGTACTGACACAAACGACGTCGTTTTAGGGACAAATGAAACGGCATCATTTTCTGATAACAAAAACAGTGTCGTTTCTAGGAAAAGAAAACAACCTCGTCTCTTTTCGAAGAAATGACATCGTTTATGGGAAAAGGAAACTGCGACGTTTTCAAGGAACAAAACAACATCAATTTTGGGTTTTTCTGCACTTTATCAAATGATAGGGGGGTGAAAAAAAACGCTCTGTGGGGAACTCATTTCATGTCAGCGTATTCATGCCAGTTTGACTATTGCGCGACATGCCGTTTACAAAACGGATGACTTGTTGTTTTACAAAGGGGCATGACGTTGTTCACACCAAACTATACGCAGTCGTTCCGTAGCAACGTAAAACGGCGTCATTTTAGGGAAACACAATGACACCGTTTTATTCTCCTAAACACGACGTCGTTTATAGCAAACAAAACGGGACCGTTTAGTACTAAATGAAACAACGTCGTTTTGGGTAAAATAAAACAGTAATGTTTTTAACTTAACAAAAACATCGTCATTTAAGCAAAAGTGAAACAGCAAAGTTTTCTACTGATCGAAATGCGTTGTTTTAGGGAAAAGAAAGGCATTGTTTTCTTCTCACAAAACGACAGCATTTACCAATACAAACGACATCGTTTCTTTTCAATGAAATGACATCGTTTTTACCATCGTGCAACATGCCATTCACAAAACGGATGACTTGTCGTTTTACCAAGGGGACAATGTCGTTGACAACATTGATACAACATCGTTTTGTGCTAATGAAAAACGACGGTGTTTTGGGTAAAGAAAAACAGCATCGTTTTTATTTTCTACAGAACAACGTCATTTTGTGTAAATCGAAACATCATCGTTTTATCTTCAACAAAACGACGTCGTTTTTACTAAAAGAAACGTCATCATTTGTACTTATCTAAACAATGTCATTTCGTCATATAAAAACGGTGCCGTTTTGTTTGATCAAAACGACGTTGTTTTAGTTCTATGAAACAACATCGTTTGTTTCTAAACAAAATGCCGTCGTTTTCGTGAAAAAGAAACGATGCCCTTTTCTCTTCATTAAACGATGTTGTTTGTGGCAAATGAAATGTCATTGTTTATTGTCAAAATGACAGCGTTTCTGGTAAAGCAAAACGACATCATTTTTTGAGTATGAAAACACGTCATTCGGGTAAATATCAGTTAAACCCATATAATTTGGTAAATCGTAAAAAAACCCCTATTTTCAGGATTACGATGGACTTAGATGGCATTTACCATAAAGAATTTTATTTAAACTTACGGAAACTTCAAGCCTTCAACAACACGTCATTTACACAAAACACACCGTTGAAGAAACACAAATGTAAACGACATGTCACGTTTACAGTGTATGAAAATAAACGACATGTCTTTTATTAAGGATTACGACGGGTTTATAGATTTGAACGCAATGATTTTTAATGGGCCTAAATGAGATTTACCATGAATAGGTCACGTGTTTACTCGGCTGGAGGGGTAAAGATTTTAATTTTATTTCTCGATAAATTTCTAATAATAAATCCCCCATTTTCACTGCTTTCAGTGCATTCCCTCTCAATCTTTGGCGCGCGATCTTCAAAAGGTAATCCCTCTAAACCTAATCCTCTGTTTGTTTCCCGAGAAAATCCGAAGTTTAAATTTTATTTTTTCAATTCCTTCATGCAACTTGTGATAAACGAGAAATTGCTCATTTCTAAAGATCAATGTTGTACGTAGTTTTAGATTCAAAAGAATGGTAAAAAGACTTTTTTTTGAATCAGCTTGTGAAATCTTGTACTTTGTTATGGTCGACCATTTGAAACTGTTTTTTTTTTTTTTTTTATTGCTTGTTTTTTTCTCAGAAACAATAGCTTCAATTTGCTTCAGTTTGATCTCTTGTTGGTGATACCATATCGATTGAGAAGTGAAACAATATTATATACTTAATAAACTACTTAAAAATAAGAACTGTTTATAGGATTTAATATTAATAGTATAAGATTTCCGATTTTCAAGTTATAGGTTTTTGCGTGTGATATGGAGTTATGTTTGACTTTGTTTGTGTATAACTGGATTTTTTTTTTTCTTTATTTCCCTTGAATTTATTTTAGCCTCAAAAAGAAATTTAATTTTTGATATTATTATTGTTCTTTTCGTTGAACCTGCTTTCTGTGATGGTTTGTCTTATCACTGCCAATACAGCATTTGGTATGAATAGGATCTTCTTTATAATTAAAGCTTTCCGCTTCCTCCTGAATCTGCAGTTGTTTTGTTACCACTGTAATGATTAATTAGTATTTAGTTGAAGCTTGTTGATGTATGAGTGATATCTTTATTAAGTGCCTTCTTTTTGTTTGAACTTTCACCTAATTTCACATTAGCATACATCATTTTCTTTCTTTCTTTTTCATTTGGACATGGTGTGACGTTGTTTGTGCAGGGCAGATATGTTACATCATGTTGGTTCTGTTCCAAAAATTGTTTGCAGCCTTTTTGAATAGCTTGTGATTTAACAAACATAATTTTCCTTTGCTGGCTCTTGGATGTAATAGCTTCAAGTTGGCTTCAGGCAGCGGATCTCTTGTGGTGAGCTCGATCGATGAGAAATGAAACAATATATTCCTTATACTAGTATACTATTAAAATAAGAAACTGTTTATAGGATGAAATATAATAGTTATAACGATTTCCGATTTTTTTTCAAAAAAAAAAATAAACGGTTTTAAAAAATTAGGGGGGGATAATTTTTTTGCGCTGTGTGATAGGCTCAGCTGCTTGCCTTGTTCGGCGTAAACTGGGTGTTTTTTTTTTTTTTTTTATTTCTGATCTTATTAGCATCAAAAAGAAATTTAATTTTTGATATTATTATCTGTTCTGTTTTTTCGTTCACCACACTGTTTTCTGTGATTGGTGTTTGTGTCGTATCCCTGCCAATACAGCCTTGGTATAAATACGGACTCGTTTCATACTTAAAGCTTGCCGCTTCCGCGATGAATCTGCAGTTGTTTGTACCAATGTAATGAGATATAGTTAGTAGTTAGTTGAAGCTTGTGATGTCCTTTATGTTAGTGACGACACTCGTGAATTAAGGTGCCTTCTTTTTGTTTGAACTTTAACCTAATTTCACCATTAGATACATCGTTTTTTTTTTGTGTTCTTTTTTTTTAAAAAAGATGCATTGAGTGAACCTTTCCTATGTAAAAAGATTCTTAAGGACATGGGTGAGACTGTTGTGCAGGGCATATATATTACATCTGTGGTCTGTTCCAAAAAATTGTGGTTCCCAGCCACCACCGCAATACTAAGAGTGTAGCTCACCCCTTACTGTTTTAAACGTCATCTGTTCTGCACCGATTAAAGCTTAATGAGTTATGGAGAAAGAGGCTACATTGTTTCTAGTATAAGTTTAGAAGTTGGTGAAATATTACCTTATTTTCAAATATACGTTTCCACGTCATGCTAAGTATCTTATCTGTGTCCTTAGCTAGTCTTGGATAGGTATTTTTTTTTATCATTACAAGAAAGGTGACCATTCAGCTCTTTTTCCCTAAAAGCAACCAATTAAATCGCATTTCACGGGTGCATATGAGCATTGAGTATTGTTCTTGATTTACTTTCGTCTATCTCCTCTCTCCCGCAAGGGGCACAGTATGTATATTAGTTTTTAGAGATATGTGAGGAGCAGATTAATAGAACACGAGATGGACGTTCATCATGGCACTTTTGGCAGGAGAATGAGTAAACTATGTAGAAAGGCAGTTTCTGTGCAGTCATTAGACAAAATGGGGACAAATATGCCACTCTTCCTCACGGAGACCACGCATTTCTTCCTTCATAACTTATACGTCGGTGATGCTGGTACTTCCATGCATTGACACAGTTTCACAAAGAACTCTGTTGATGATACCGTTCCAACGCACAGACGATGAGGCGGATCCTGATCATTGCTTGCCATTGACATAGATCTATTCTCCAACGTGCAGTTCCAG